TTATTAATAATATTAATGTATTGTCGAAGGCTTTCATGGCCAGAATCACTGGGTTGTTGCTTCTAGAACATGGCCATACAGCCTGTAAAACCCAATAATAATAATAATAATAATAATAATAATAATAATAATAATAATAATAATAAACACTGATACATCACACAGTCTTAGACACTTGGGAAGTGTCCGACGTGTGATCCAATTCAACAGCCAGCAGAGTGTCTGCTGTGGACTCATCGTGTTGTGTTTTAAATAATGATAATGATAATATTTATAATAATAATAATAAAATCACGATCTGTCAAATGCAAAAGGACACCTTACTTGGATCTGCGCGCATCATTCGGAAATACATCACACAGTCCTAGATGCTTGGGAAGTGTTCGAATTGTGATTTTTTGATACGAAATCCAGCATATAGATCTCGTTTGCTGTGACATACTGTGATTTTGTGTTAGTATAATAATAATAACAACAACAACAACAACAACAACAACAACACTTTCTTTATATTTCAACCTTCTCTCCACCATTTACACACATAGGCAAACATTCAATGCCTTTACAATCATATACAATGAGACACACAAACACAAGCAAAGGTAGAGGCTTCCCCTTTCATTTCCGGCTCATCTCTGGCTCTGGGAAGGTGCTTTTCTCCATTTTCAAGCCGAGGAGCCTGCATTGTCACCTCCTGGTTGTGTGGCTGGTAAGATTACTTGGAATATCTCTTTGCCTTTTCCCGCTGAAGTGGTACCTATTTATCTACTCACTTTTGCATGTTTTCAAACTGCTAGGTTGGCAAGAACTGGAGCTGACAGATGGAAGCTCACCCCATCTCGGGGATTCAAACTGCCAACTTTAAGGTCAGCAGTTCAGTCAACCTTCAGGTCAGCACAAGGGTTTAACCTATTACACTACCACAGCTAAGGTGAGTACCTGCAGATATTGCACATTTATTTTTTTATTTATCGTGTCATCAGCAACCATACCATTGTGTTACAATTCTAACAGAACAAAACAAACACACAGATTAAAAACAAAAAGAAAAAAAAACACACAGATTTTGCAAACTTGGTATTTGGTTAAATGTCCTTTGACCAGTATCTGGCCACTTGGAGTGCCTCTGGTGTTGCCGCAAGAAGGTCCTCCATCGTGCATGTGGCAGGGCTCAGGGTGCATTGCAGCAGGTGGTCAGTGGGTTTGTTCTTCTCCGCACTCGCATGCCGAGGATTCCACCCTGTAGCCCCATTTCTTAAGATTGGCTCTGCATCTCGTGGTGCCAGAGCGCAGTCTGTTCAGCGCCTTCCAAGTCGCCCAGTCTTCTGAGTGCCCAGGGGGGAGTCTCTCATCTGGTATCACCCATGAATTGAGGTGCTGGGTTTGGGCCTGCCACTTTTGGACTCTCACTTGCTGGGGTGTTCCAGCGAGTGTCTCTGTAGATCTAAGAAAACTATGTCTTGATTTAAGTCGTTGACGTGCTGGCTGATACCCAAACAGGGGATGAGCTGGAGATGTCTCTGCCTTGGTCCTTTCACTATTGGCTGCTACTTCCCGGAGGATGTCAGGTGGTGCAATACCGGCTAAGCAGTGTAATTTCTCCAGTGGTGTAGGGCGCAGACACCCCGTGATAATGCGGCATGTCTCATTAAGAGCCACATCCTGTTTTAGTGTGGTGAGATGTGTTCCACACTGGCCATGCGTACTCAGCAGCAGAGTAGCATAGCGCAAGGGCAGATGTCTTCACGGTGTCTGGTTGCACATTATTCATCAATGTATTTGCATATCTGGCTCTCTCTAAGGTTGCTTTAACACGGGCAACCAGAGGCAGCCCTAGGTAATTTTCAATGGTAAGCAAACAGTATTTTGCCCCCCACCCAAATCACTAATATGGTGGGAGTTCAGTGTGCCATATTTGGTTCAATTACATCATTGGTGGAGTTCAGAATGCTCTTTGATTGTAGGTGAACTATACATCCCAGGACCTGCAACTCGCATATGTCAAGGTCTATTTTCCCCCAAGAACGCCTCAAGAGCGCCCCTGGGCAAAATCAACTATACTGCAAATGCTTACTTTGCGTAATGGGTTAAGCCGCCCCTGCGGGCAACATCCTAAGAGAAAAAGATGAAAGTTCCTCCTGCTAATGTAGAAAATTAATTTCTGAAGAAACATTTGTACATTCCCTATAATCTTTTTAATGAAAGGACACTGGTTGACTAATTTTGCAGAAAGTAAAGCATGTAAATGAAAGTAAAGCATGCTTCAAAGTGAGTGGATTTTGATTGCTTTAGAGTTATAAAATAAGGCATGTATGATACAAAAGAACTTAGCAATTAAACAGAGCTCACTCACAACGGAAATGCCATTGAGGTGCCCTTGATATTCCAGAGTATTCACAATACCCAATTCTAACAGGCAGAAATAGAGTCGCCCATTCTCTTGTGTCTATTATGCTGTCTAAACATGCTTGTCAATTCTCCTCCATCATTCCTTACAGAAAGAAACCGTAGCAAAAGAAGATTCTCTGAAAAACTATGACACTCAAATAAGAGTGGACTGTAAAAGGCACAGAGCCAGAAAAAAAACTCTATGCAAGCTGTATCTCCAAAAGAACAAACACAAGTGACTTTTCACAGCTATTGTGCATCTGAAATCCAATTTCCTCCTTTAATTCATCATTCAAGCATCTTCATTACCACAAAATACTCCATGAAGACACCAATGTGCCTATCCCCATGACACCTAAACACTCTCCTTATTATAGCCTTCCTCTGACTGGATGTTCTCCAGATGATTTGGATTATAATCCCCATTAGTCCTAGTTCTCTCCAGCAACAGCTCGAGGGAAGTGATGGGAATTATAATCCTAAAAATATTAAGGACATTAGATTGGACAAAGCCGCCCTGCTACTTTATATCAGACTAGCTGTCCCCTACCATGCGTTGCTATGGCCCAGTCTGTGTATATGTGTTTTGTGTGTATATATATTTGTGTATATGTGTGCGTGTGTGTGTGTGTGTGTGTGTGTGTGTGTGTGTGCAGTGTGTGCGTGTGTGTGTGTGTCTGTGTGTGTGCTTTTGCGCATGCGTTGTAATGTATTTTTTTGTTTTGTTGGCTTTTTAAGTGTCTTCTGCTGTGTTTTTCAGTGTTTTTATGAGTGATGGTCAGTCGTTGGCCTTATAGATGTATGGTGTCCAAATTTGGTCTCAATTCGTCCAGTGGTTTTTGAGTTATGTTAATCCCACAAACGAACATTGCATTTTTATTTCTATAGAAGTGCAAAAATTGCCTTCCATGTGAAGCCCCATTTCAGAGGGGAAATAAAGATCCATTTTTTTCTGCTCTTGAAATTCTTCAAGAAATTGTTATTTTTGTATTGAGGGATCACATATCCCTCCAACTCCAGGGGAAAAACACCTCCCAAAATCAAAACCATAGACGAACATCCACTCCAAGTAGTCAAAAACCCCTTCCAGTTTTTGGTTGTGGTGCAACCTATGATGGGTGGTCTAATGACAACTGAAGTCCCTGGTGGCGCAATGAGTTAAACCCTTGTACCATGTCTGAAAGGTCGACAGTTCAAATCTGGGGAGTGGGGTGAGCTTCTGACTGTGAGCTCCAGCTTCTCATGTGGGGACATGAAAGAAGCCTCCCACAGGATGGAAAAACAACCGGGTGTCCTCTGGGCACTGTCCTTGCAGACAGCCAATTCTCTCACACCAGAAGCAACTTGAAGTTTCTCAAGTCGTTCCTGACACAAAAAAATAACAACTGTGTTCCCATATTTACCCATCCTTATCTTAATTAATTCAAGAGTATCAGTTTTCAAAGGTGAGACATGCATGTGCTTAAAAGACAAATTCCTACAGAACAACCTATCCTGATTTGGTACTTCTTAAGAAGAAAGTAATGACCACTTGATGCCAGTGATCATTAAACTGCCTTCATTTTGACTAGGGATTGCGTTACTAGTAACAAGTCATCTTATAGAACTCCTAGAAAAAGTGATTTCTCTCCTGAGTTTTAAATTAATTCATCATATTGATCACATTATATTAAATTCGCTTAAATGTCATCTATTCTAATCTTGAATACAAACTGCTGTTCAAATCAATGAAATCAAGATAACCCCGAAAAGACTTTTAATGCTTTTGAGACCACGTCCACTGATGCTGCCAAGTTTTTAGAAAAAATAAGTTTCAAAAAAAATTTTCAGGCCAAGTCAGTGAAATCTTCCCAACTGAGGTCAAGAAACAAGCAGTAGCTCTAAGTGGCATTTTTGTTGGCACCTGCTAAGCATTGGCTCTTCTTGTGGTGTCCTAGAGTACCACGTTCTAGAGTACCACACTTGGCAGGGCCTTTTCAAAGATGGCACTCCAACTTTGGGATCTCATTCCTTTACAGATACAGCGGTTGGGTCACTTGGCCTCTATAAGCACACCACATGAAGTTTCAGCACAGTATAGGTACTAGTACAAAGAACTGTTACTGGAATAGTATTATTAGCAGCTGTAGAAGAGGAGCCCCCGGTGGCGCAGTGGGTTTAACCCCTGTGCTGGCAGGACTGAAGACTGACAGGTCGCAGGTTCGAATCCGGGGAGAGGCGGATGAGCTCCCTCTACCAGCTCCAGCTCCTCATGCAGGGACATGAGAGAAGTCTCCCACAAGGATGATAAAAACATCAATTCATCCGGGCGTCCCCTGGGCAACGTCCTTGCAGACGGCCAATTCTCTCACACCAGAAGCAACTTGCAGTTTCGCAAGTCGCTCCTGACACGACAAAAAAAAAAAAAAGCAGCTGTAGATATATATTTTAAAACTCCATGGAAAAAGTGTAATAATTCAGTGATAATGCTATCACAGAAAATTAAAGTATCTGTCATCCAAAATGCTACAAAGCCAAAGGCTAGGGGAAAGATGTTTCTCCAAATGGTACTAAAATTCCTTACATGGTAGCATTTTCGAGATATTTGTTCAAATAAATGTCATCAGACTTACCATGTGCATCTGATCAAAGGAACGAACAGAAGCCAATCTGTCTGCAAAAGAGAAAAATAAGAGGTCTTTTGATAAACACTACATCATTACAAATTTCAGTGAACAGTAACAAGCAACTCTAAAGGAAGTAAATTAAACCATACCTGTTGGGCTGCCACGAACATGTTCCATCTTTCCTTGGAGAAGTCCAATCTGTCTTTCCAACTGTCTGTTCAATTCTATTTGGGTTTCATATCTGGTTTTCCATTCATTGTCTTAAAAAAATACATGGAAGTGGTAATTCTTCTTATTGGATCATGTGCTATCAAGTTGGCTTTGACATGTGGCTACCCCATGATTATTCCCCAAGTCAGAATTTCTAAAGCAGGAATAGATGGTAGTCCGTGCTCTTGTTACATCCTGAATAGACTACTGCAACACACTCTACATGGGGTTGCCTTTGAAGACTGTTTGGAAGCTTCAAGTGGTCCAACAGGTGGCAGCCAGGTTGCTCACCAGAGCAGCATATAGGGACACACAACCCTGCTTTTGCATCCACTCTACTGGATGCCAGTCTGGTACTTAGCACAATTCAAAGTGCTGGCTTTAGCCTATAAATCCCTAAACAGTTCCAGTCCAGCTTATCTATCCAAATGCATCTCCCTTTATGAGCCAGTTAGACCATTAAGATCAACTAGGGAGGTCCTGCTCTCGGTCTTGCCGCCATCGCAGGTGCAATTGGTGGGGACGAGAGACAGAGTCTTCTAGGTGGTGGCTCCTTGGCTGTAAACTCCCTCTTCAGTGAGATTAGAACAGCCCCCCCCTCCCCGTGTTTAGAAAACAACTAAAAACTTGGTTATGCAAAAAAAACATTCAGTGAATGACAACAATAATGGAGTAGACAAATGACAACCTTGGGATCAGTGAAATGTTAAAATGTTTCATGTTTATGTTTGATGGTTTATAGTTTTAATGGTCTAATTTATAGTCATGTGTAATTGTTTTTAATTAATTTATTTATTTTTATGGAGAATAAAAAGGTTCAAAAAAAGGTTTTTGCTTCCAGGTCTTTTTGGGCTGTGGATCCTTCTTTTCTTCAGATCTGTTCTGACCTTGTAGCATCGGTTCCTTGTTAATCTAGCCTTTGAGTTTCTCTCAAATCACTTTTGCATAGATTTCTGTATTTTCCTTTTTTTAAAATCCATACATTTACCCCAGTCTGTTCTTTGTGTTGTAAATTGTTCTGGGTAAGCTTTTGTGTCAGTAAGTCCATGTTCATAATATCCATTACTTTCAGAATCTATTTTTCAGTAGTGGGTATTTCTTGTGATTTCCATAATAGGGAAATTATGGAAATCACAAGAAATGGCCACTATGAATTGTTTTTACATGTGCGATACATATTACCCACTACGTAATTGTTTTTAGATGTGTGATATATTGTTTTATTGTCTGTGATGCATTAATTTTTTGTGAGTATTATAATATCAATTTTGTTGTGCATATTATATATCTTTGTTATGCATGTTATAAGTTCCATGTAATTATGTAGAACTACCTTCAGCCACTATGTATGTTCCCTTTAGGATCCACTTTTCAAGAGCGGTTAGTAGACCACTTGCCTCAAATATTGAGCTTTTTTGATAAGTGAGTAAGTAGCATGTGTATATATATATTTACAAGCTTGAAGTTTCCAGTTGTGGTTGACTTGCACACAACCACACTGGCAATGAGCACTTATTGACGGAAATTGTATGGTATTCTTTCATCTATCCAGGGTTTTCCACCTTATAACAGAGGAAAGTCAGAAACAGTACAGCAAAAATGCAATAGTTAACCTTCTTCATTCTAACAAAAAAAATACTGATTTCTTTTTTTAAAACTGTCTTTTGTAATGGAGCACATTAAAATTGAAAAGTCACTTTCTACGTTGTGCTTGATACATCTTTCAACTTCAGTGCCTGAAGACTCTTGATTATGTAATTGAATATGGATCATCACTTGCACTTTATTTGATTGACAAAAAGTCTAGATTTACTCTCTTACCTTCATCCTCAACACTGTTGAGCCTTTTTTCCAGCTGCGCTACCGTATTTTTCATTTCAAAGACTGAGTGTTCTAGCATTTCTCTGCATTACAAAAGAACAAGTAGTTATATAATCAGAATAGACACTAAAAATGTATGCACAGAAGGAAATGCAAAGGTTGTCAGTCTTTCCAGTACCTGCGGCTGGAATCCAGTAAGTTAAAGATGAGCCAATAATGTCAAAAAAGCCAATGAGATTTTGGCCTGTATCAACAACAACAACAACAAACATTCAATGTATCGACAATACAGACACAGACAGAACAGAAGGAGGTGTGTTGTTTCGACTTAATGTCCAGCTTTTTGGTGCCATAGAAAGTTGAGCTTGAATCCAGTCACAGGGGGTGTGGTCGCTCCATCCTCTGCGATGAAGAGCCAACATGACTTCCTCCTTCCTTCTGGTCACCCAGCATTTTCTAATCTTCTTTCTTTATGGCATCGTAAAACACCTCCCCACTTTTAGCAATACCTAATTTCTCTATTTACAGCGAAAGCTGTTCTTGAACCACTTAGGTCAACAGTAAACTGGGCTCACAGTTGGCACCTCACACCAATCAGGGGCTTCGAACTTGCAACCTTTTGGTTGATAGATCTTATAATTGCTGGTAATTTACCAGCTGTGCCAAACCCCCAGCTCAATAGGAAAATAGTGTCTAGATCCAGGGAAGTCATGCTACCCCTCTATTTTGCCTTGGTCGGACCACATCTGGAATGCTGTGTCCAATTCCAGGCACCACAACTGAAGGAAGATATTGACAATTCGAAGTACCACGGGCTAAACTACAAATCTTAAGATGACATAGGTTAGAACCATGACTGGTAAAGTAGCATCTTAGTGCTATGACTGTGTAGTGTGAAAGAGCCACGTATCTCAGCCAAATTCTTCCAATGCTGGTTTTGCAGGATTCTTTAAATGCACAACTTCCCAAATACTCTCATTAGCAGAGCCTATAAAGCTGTGGAGCAGCTGCCAGCACAACAACATATTCCTGCCTCAGCCAGTATTTTCTGGAAATGAACTTTCAAGTGGAAAGCTTAAGCAGACAGATGGCATGCTGAGTTCATGCTATTGAGCAAGACCCACATTAAGATTTTGCAAGTCCCAAGACACTTGGATTATTGCACTCTCACTCCTGCTGAGGTCGGTGTACTTTCACGACCCTAATATTTTAATTAATTATTCATATTTTATCATTCCCTTCTGGCTATGGGAGACATACCATTCAATTTAACATATATGAATGAACACAAAGCAAAATACAGATTAACATAAAATTAACAGCACTTTCATAATTATTCCTGGCTATTAAACATCTGTCCACCATGTGAGGCAAGAGGCTATGTTGATAGTAGCAGTGCTGCTTGTAGGATCTCCTATATCAGACAGGTTTTTGCTGAGGAGACATATTAAAGTGCCAAAGATGCAGCTACTGGGCAGCAGCAGTGAAACCACAATGGATGGCAGATAAAACTCTTCAAAAAGTTAAGGACAGTCAAGAAACAAAAATAAAAACAGACAGAAGTAAGAGTCAGAACCTGAATGCAACTGTTCAACATCATATGCACAAGAACAGAAGAATTACTATAATAATACAGCCCAACCCAAAAAGATTCTTGCTGTCTTGGTTCTTCAACCTGTTCCTGGAGTTATTTGTTATCATGATTTTCTGAGGGTGAGCAGATGGGGACTGGTATTTACTTAGTTATTTACTGTATTTGTATCCCACCTTTCCCTATTCCGAAGAGGACTCAAGGTAGCTTTGCATATGGCAACTATTCAATGCCATTTCACATAATTCCATAGCTATTATTGTACTATAGTTAATCTCCGAAGGCTTGACTCAAAAGCCAGGTTTTAACTTTCCTTCTGAAAAGTCAGGAAGGAGGGAGTTGCTCTGATATCACTGGGGAGTGAGTTCCACAGCCAAGGGGCCACCACCAAAAAGGCCCTGTCTCTTGTCCCAATCAACCGCACCTGCAAAGGAGGCGAGACCAAGAACAGGGCCTCCCCAGATTATCTTAATCTCCAAAGTGGTTCATAGGAGGACATATGGTAGATGACATATGTTCTGTATCTCAAAAACTAGCACTAACAAGGGGAAACTGATGCTATTCCCGGAATCAGCAGGTCAAATATACCCAGAGACTAACATTTGAGCACCAAAATGTGTACTGACCAGTGTAATGAACGCATTGAAATATAACAACAAAAAAGGAAGAACAAAAGACCTTTTTCACAAGATCCAGGGAATGGAAATTGACACCAAGAGTGGAGATGCTCTATGACCAGCCAGGGAATATATTACATGGCCAAGAAGATATATATAAAAAGGAAATAATGTGTGTAAGAAGAACTATATGAAAGAGATGAAACTATTCGAGGAAGGACCATGTGGAGATAAACCTCCAATTTTAGACAGACAAGTGGAAGGCATTTGTAGGAAATAAATCACCAGAAACATATGGCATATCAATAGAGCTGCTTCAGTCTACAGAATCAGAACCTACTCTAGTTCTAACATCTGTCAACAAATATGGAAAACAAGGCAATGGGCTACAGATTGGATACTAAGGACTGCTAAAGAAAAATAAATGGGTCCTAGAAGACAAGAAGACACAACTTGTCTTTGGCCATATCATGAGAAGACATGACTCACTAGAAAAGACAATAAAGTATGGTAAGATAGACAGTAGTAGGAAAAAGGAAGACCACGTTACAGGTGGAAGGATTCAATCAAGGAAGCCATGGTTCTGAGTCGGCAAGTCCAGAGCAGGGTTATTGATGATATTGTGACTTGGATATCGCTCACTATTGCATTTTGTCCTATGGTGCTGTTGTAAGGTTTACTGAAGGCCTAAATACAAATGGACCAGATCCCATATGATCTTGGAAGCTAAGAAGGGTCAACTCTGGTTAGTAGTAGGATGGGAGAATGTTCATGAATGCTGGTACTGTAGGGTATATTTTAGAGCAGTGGTTCCCAACCTGTGGTCCATGGTCCCCAAGAATGAAAATATGGTTCACGGCCTCACCATTACTACACTGTTGCCTCAAAACCACATGGCAAAGAGAGTGACTGGTCTCATGAAAACATCTTATAGTGCCGAGGCAACGGGATGTCAGGAGGGGAGAGGCTGACAACCCACAAAAGATTACTACTACCACATCAACTCTAGATTATTAAATATAGTTTTCTGTGGGCAAGCAGATGGCGACTATTGGATGGCATACAGGCCCGTAGCCAGGATTTTGTTTCGGAGGGGGGGGGGCTGAGTTTGTTGGGGGGGGGCTAAGTCTGAGTGAAAGAGGGTCTACCCTAGCAAATCTTTTGTATCGTTATATATATACCCCCATGCATATGGGATATATTGAGCATGGTGATCAGATCATGATATGAATAAACATAACAGTTTAAATAATGTACCATTAAGGCCTTCTCGCGGACCACCATCAGAATTTCGGGGGGGGGGGCTGAAGCCCCCCAAGCCCCCCCCCCCCGCTACATGCCTGATGGCATATGTTCTGTATCAGAAACTAGACCTGATGTGGTCTATCCAATGCAATTATCTGAATCAGCACCCCAAATAAATCTAAACCAAATCTAAAGTTGATCAAAAACTGATTCATAACCCTTTTGGTACTAATGTTGGAGAGTGGTCCCTGATCAAAGTGGTCCCTGGTCAAAAAAAAGGTTGGAAACTACTGTTATAGAGGAAGGAACTGGTAAAACCAACTCTTGAGTACTTCTTGCCTCAGAAAAACCAATGAAATTCAGTGTGACCAATGTGTCTGTTCACATTCATGCACACACAAAATTGACTGAGATAATACCCCAATGCCTTCTAATCACAAAATTATTAAAATGGCCTATAATTTTTTAAAAAATCACATGGTTGTTCTTTGTAGTAATAATTTGACAGCAGTACATGTGAAAAAGATCTTGGACCACAAGTTAAACATGAGCCAACAATGTGATGCGGCGGCAAAAAAAGCCAATGGGAATTTGGCTGTATAAATAGGAGTCTAGTGTCTAGATCCTGGGAAGTCATGCTACCCCTCTATTCTGCCTTGGTCAGACCAAACCTGGAATACCAGGATGTTAACTGGTGCTCCTTACAGAGAGAGGTCAACCCTCCTGTTTAAGGAGCTACACTGGCTGCCATTCATTTTCCGGTCCCAATTCAAGGTGCAGGTGCTTCCTACAAAGCCCTAAACGGTTTGGGACCTGCCTACCTCCGTGACCGCGTTTCAGTGTACAAACCCACACGATCTCTTCGTTCATCCGGAGAGGCCCTGCTTACGATCCCACCGCCATCGCAAGCGCAATTGGTGGGGACAAGGGATAGGGCTTTCTCAGTAGTGGCCCCTCGACTCTGGAACTCTCTCCCTAAGGACATCAGGCAGGCCCTGTCGCTGCCAATCTTTAGGATGAGCTTGAAAACATGAATGTTCAAGTGTGCCTTTCCAGAATAAGGAAACTCCCAGCATTATGTCCCAACACACTTTATCAGAGATTTAGGATATTTGCATGCCCACCCTCCTCCAAACACCCCACCTGTCATGCCCAGCACTTTTTAATTTTAATTTTAATTATTACATTTGGCCTGGACATTGTTTTTAACTGCGTTACTACATGTTGTTAATGTTATTGCTTGTTTTGTTTTACTTTGCCGTATTATTGTTGTTGTTGTTTATTGTTGTATTTTGGGCTCGGCCTCGTGTAAGCCGCACTGAGTCCTTCGGGAGATGGTAGCGGGGTAAAAATAAAGGATTATTATTATTATTATTATTATTATTATTATTATTATACTGTATCCAATTCTGGGCACCACAATTGAAGGGAGATGTTGACAAGATGAAATGTGTCCAGAGGACGGTGACCAAAATGATCAAGGGTGTGGAGAACAAGCCCTATGAGGAGTGGCTTAGAGCTGGGCATGTTTAGCCTGCAAAAGAGAAGGCTGCGAGGAGACAAGATGAGGGCCATGTGTAAATATGTGAGGGGAAGTCATAGGGAGGAAGGAGCAAGCTTGTTTTTTGCTGCCCTGGATGCGGAACAATGGCTTCAAACTACAGGAAAGGAGATTCCACTTGAACATGAGGAAGAACTTCCTAACTGTGAGAGCTGTTCAGCAGTGGAACTCTCTGTTTCGAGGTGTGATGGAGGCCCCTTCTTTGGAGGCTTTTAAGCAGAGGCTGGATGGCCATCTGTCAGGGGTGCTTTGAATGCGATTTTCCTGCTTCTTTGCAGAATGGGGTTGAATTTGATGGTCTCCTCCAACTAAATGATTCTATTATAGCATGAATTTGACAGCTGTGTCAATTTGACAACGTTGATATGGGTTGGATGACCATCTGTTGGGAGTGCTTTGATTGGGACTGGGCTGGGATCTACGGTTCTGTGATTGAATGCATTTGTGTCTTTAAAAAAGGTGGGGACTCACTTCATCTGCCTCTCTTGCCCCAGCTCTTGCATGAGGACATCATCTCCCAGCAGCTGGCTGCACCTTGCCTCTTCGCCCATAGTCGCTCCGCGTCCTAATCGCCTTGGAGAGAGAGAGAGAGACACAGAGAAGGAAAGGGATCAATAGGAAGGAGGCGCGGAGCCCGCAAGTGTCACGTGACAGGATCCTTTCGAACGCCGGCTCCTGCTTTTTTCTAGCCCGTCTTACCCAGGGAAACGGAGCCCTGACGTCACATAGGTGCACACGTCACAAGGGCCAGCAGGTGGCGCTCTTCTGCTAGGATGTTCCCCGGTAACCTGGTCTGTATGTATATAGTTTATACAGTTTAGATTTTATTTAATTTTGCCCCCCAATTTTTCTAAAAATACAACTTTTAGCCAAGCAAAGGCAATAAAATAAAATCAACAAAACGAAGGGATGCTCAAACTGTATTATCTAGAGCTCATCTCATCTTATTTCCAGGTGGTGACAACCAGTTGGTTATTTTCATGGCAAAACTCACGCCTTCACTCTTATGAGAATTTCTGTTTATTTTCCTTCCCAGATTTTGGAGTACCTGTATTTGCATATATATAAATAATGAGATATTTGGCATATGGGGCCGAAGCCAAAGCAAAAAAACCAACAAAAAACAACAACACACGTTTCCAATACTTCTCATACATTCTTTATTATGTTTTTAATAATGTGCAAAAAAACACATTACTGAACTGATCTGTACTGAACCAACTATTTGCTAGTTATCTATCAGTCTGGTTGCCATAATTTTAGTTTTTTGATGTTTTGATGTTTTTTGATGTAGAATTTGAAGAGGCACGAATGGAGGGTGAAAGAGAGAAACGTGCCAAGAGGAAGGCGCGTCAAGCCAACCCCAACTGAGACCACCTCCCACCTGGAAACCAATGCCCTCACTGTGGGAGAAGATGCAGGTCAAGAATAGGGCTCCACAGCCACCTACGGATCCACAAGAATACTGATCCTGGAAGACTATCCTACTTGTCCAATGAGGGATCGCCTAAGTAAAAAATAAAGTATACGGTAAAACCCACCCCCAGGACACCGAACTTGGAGGACCATCATCCTCGGACTACGAGGGATCAAGTAAGTAAGTAAGTAAGTAAGTAAGTACTGAACCAACTATTTGCTAGTTATCAATCAGTCTGGTTGCCATAATGTTGGTTTTTTGATGTTTAACTGCAACCCAGCTTTTGCACTTTCTTCTTTCACCTTGGTGATAAGGCTTCTCAGCTCCCCCTTGCTTTCAGCCACCAAAATGGTATCAGCTGCATATCTAAGGTTGTTAATGTTTCTTCCAACAATTTTAACTCCAGCCTTGTATTCAAGCCCTGCACGTTGCATGATGTATTCTGCGTACAAGTTCAATAGGTAGATTGAGAGTATACAGTCCTGCCATACTCCTTTCCCAATCTTGAACCAGTCTGTTGTTTTGTGGTCTCTTCTCACTGTTGCTACTTGGTCATTATTCCTGAGGAATTCAGGAGACAGACAAGGTGGCTTGGTATCCTCATACCACCAAGAACTTGCCACAATTTATTACGATCCACACAGTCAAAGGCTTTAGAATAGTCAATAAAACAGAAATAGACGTTTTTCAATAGTCAATAAAACAGAAATAGAACCCCCCCCCCCAAACTAATGTGAAAACATAAAAAAAACCTGAATTAAAACTACTGTAAGTACTAGTAGCATGAGGCAATTTTCTACTGCAATAACAAAATAATACTTGCTGAGATAAGCATCACTCATATAAAGGTCATTCTTTATACCTACCACTCTTAAAAACAAGTAGAGTGTGTCACACTTCAGTGCAACAGAGATCCTTGCAAGAAAATTTCTCACAGCTAATGCACCATATACTGCCCTTCTTACTCCAAAAGTAACATGGGTGAATTTTTGTATGGTACATTCTTGTCAAATGGCACCAAAATACATTAGCAGTTTAGTTAGCAGACATTCTGCCAGGTTTGTAATGGTAGGGAAGAAAATCCCACATCTCACCCAGTTTGGAAATATAGTCAACATTGTAAGCAACTTGGTCTTCTAATGGTAGACCATACTGCCTGCCTTCTGAGGATATGCCTTAGAATCACATAACTGCATTATAAACCATACACTTCCAGAGTAACAGTGCATTTTGGGTTGCATACATGGCATATGCTGACAGAGTAGACAATGTACCTTATAACCCACCTGCTGTTCCTCAGTCGTTAGAAACATCCCTGGTGTGTGCCATGTTTGCAGCTGCTCGTATGGTCCATCTGGTAAGACAGTCAGTTATCAGAAACTGTGCTTTATTCATTCCTCTGTTGCCAAAACTTATGCTCCTTGGGAGAACACACAATCTTTATAGGTTCATTACTGCTTTGAAGTAGTAATAGCCTAAAAACAGATGCCATAATTTATTTAGCAAGATGAGTAGGATAATGTGAGCCATCAGGTCATGGGCACACTTAGATTTTGGTACGATTTCACCGTTATTCCAATTTGTGTCACAAATTGTGTATAAAAACAGCATTCTGTGAGGAGCAGTCAAAGGTATTATTATTTCCATCCTTGTTTGGCCCTGTGCATTCCCCAAAGATATCTGAATGCTACTATCTTTTCAAGTCAATTAGAACACTAAGTTCGGCTGGGGAGGTCCTCCTCTTGGTCCCGCTGCTGTCACAGGTACGATTGGCGGGGATGAGAGACAGGGCCTTCTTGGTGGTGACCCCTTGGCTGTGGAAATCCCTCCTCAGTGAGATTAGATTGACCCCCTCCCTCCTGGTGTTTAAGAAACAATGTAAAATTTGGTTATGTACACAAGCATCTGGAGAGTAATAATATCAAAGCAGATAAATAACACCCTTGGGATCCGTGCAATATCTACAATGTCTAATATGTTTTAGGTCTATGTTTGAAGTTTTTATAATTTTAATGGTTTAATTTATAGTTTTATGTTATTGTTTAGATATGTGATGTACTGTTTTTATATGTGAGGCATTGAATTTTTGCCAGTCATTTGTTGGGCACTGCTTTGAGTCTCCCCAGGGATGAGAAAAGTGGTATAAAAGTGCAATAAATAAATAAACAAACAAAAAATCGACCGTAAACTGATTCAGCCTCAACTTCTTATCTCTGCATGGTTCTTCTTGGACAGGATTGACTTCCTGCTGTCCCACCACTGGATTTAAAAATCTCTTATTACACAGCTATATTCTACTCCTGATTTTTTACACACCGGTTTCTATAGTTGGAAAGAGCCATAATATAACCTGGCAAGCTGTCAGAAATACAGCCAACTATAAAAATATTTTGTGATAATAGTACATATTGGAAAAGACAGTCTTTAGTAACACAGATATTTAACTTCACATGTAGAAAATAAAATGCCAAATTCTTCAGGGTGTCTTTACATCCCCACTCAATTCAAATGAAATTGCATGTAGCCAAAATATGCTTCTTAAAGTTTATTTAAAGTTTTAAATCCATCAGGTTTTCAAAGTGGTTAACTCCTTAAATAATGAATGTATTATTTGTTGTAAGTTGGAAGAACACTACAAATCTGATACATCTATGAAACCTCACCATAAGTCTGAAGTCAAAATCTGATGCAAATACATAGTGAAAAATTTCCACCTCTGTAGCAGCTGAACCTTTATCTTGCATTCTGAAGAGGTACAAAGTTTAATACTTAACGCATGGAATGCACCACATTCCACCAGAAGGCAACAAGATTCACTCCTGAATACTATATAATTTCCAATGACCATTACAAGAGTGACTTGGGCCAAATACGAAGCACAACTAAAGCTTTTATACAGAGCTCAATATTTTTGCTGATGGAGTATTAACCTTCAAGAAAATATCTGTGCCCACAGACTGGCTGAAAAAACAAGATGAACAGTGAAATTAACCCACACCTAAGCAAGATTTTCACCATTTCCAGTAAAATCCAGGACTTCACAAAGTTTCATTGACTATACTGTGTTTCCACTTGAGAAACAGTGGCATTTCAATCTTTGGTTTGTTTGTAAGCAATTTACAGGAAAAATGTAATTGCTTATTTTTTGTGTACAGCTTAGTGAAAATATATTAGTTCCATTTCAGAAAATAATCAAATGATTAGGCTAGAAATAGTATTATAAAAATAGTCCCAGGACAGAGGAAGCCAAACTCTAATATTCCACTTCTGTTTCAAATAAAATAAATCACAAATCTTTCTTGTGCAAATTTAACACTATCTCAAAGTCACTTCTATTATCTAGGTCTTAACAGCAATACTGGAGTTGTGGATACATTAATCCACCCATTAAACCATCAATTTCAGAAGAAGGTAAGTAAGTGTCAAGCGTGATAAATTAAGTGCAGGAAGCTTGCAGTTAGAAAAATAAGACATCTATCTGTTCAATTTTTTTAAAGTTACACCATAAATTAAGGCTTTGGGCAGCTCATTCACAGTGTTTTCAATGTCAGTCATCTTTTTTCTCTCCTTTTTTCTCTTTTTTCTCTATCGCTTTGTATTCCTCTTTTTCTTTAATGTTATATTCATCCAACACAGCATGGCCTGTTTCTTTTGCAGTTTTCTTCACCACTGCTTTGATACCAAGATGGTCAATATTAAAAGCTGTCACACCAACGTTGATGGCAGAACTCACTGCATCGTGTGTGGCGTGGCCAGCATCATCTCCATACCTACATGCAAATAAGGAAAGTATCAATACAAATTCCAAACGTTTCTGTACAACAAAGGGATGTTATTATATGAATACCCCAGTCCCCAAAAGGCCACTCAAGATTCATTTGAAATCAACCTGAAATCAAAGAGTACATGGAATGAAATCCTTCCAAAGTAAAAGAAGCCCAGAAAAGAAAGTACAATCTTAATGTTAGTTGGCTGTTAATCTATTTCAGATTTAAAGAATCCGCTTTGTGTTGGAGAATGAGTTTTTACCCAGTCTTTTTCGTTACAGCTCTCAAAAGCAGTGCTCACAGATGGCAGCTAGATCAAAAGCTTTGATCCCTCCAGATTTCTGAAGTTAAGTAGGATGTGAGATTTTTTTTTTTGCTGAAAGTCTTAGGGCTAAATCATTCTTATATTATGCACATACACCTTGTGAAAAGTGTGAATTTACAAGTCCCATGCCCAATAATTTATGTGTAATGGATTACTATTTTTAAAGTACTACTGAAAAAATTAGGACTCCTTCAATTAGTTAATGAACTTTATTATAAAACACTATCTTGCCATGACAAACAAGTTGAGGGAACTTATTTTACATAGTGTAAAAGTTAATTGTGCATGCTTAAGTTTATATGTACAAATGACTGGATAGAGTTCATTTTGATCTGACATTACTTACTTCTTAACTAAACTACTGCTATTCTGTTCCCTATATTGGTTGGGGATCCTTTATTTGAAATGTTTAGGATCAGAAGAATTTGGGATTTCCCCCCCAGATTTTGGAATGTCTGCACTTGCATATATGTACATAACGATATAATCCTGGAAATATAACCCAACTTACTCACATAACCTTCAGGTATTTGTACACATTTTAAATAATTCTGAGCATGAAACTAAGTTTGTTTACATTTTTTCATGTCAGGAGTGACTTGAGAAACTGCAAGTCACTTCTGGTGTGAGGTAATTGGCCATCTACAAGGACGTTGCCCAAGGGATGCCCGGATGTCTGATGTTTTACCATCCTTGTGGGAGGCTTCTCTCATGTCCCTGCATGGGAAGCTGCAGCTGACAGAGGGAGCTCAGCCCACTCTCCCGCCAGCACCAGGGTTTAACCCACTGCGCCACTGTTTATTTACAGGAAACAGTTTGTCTACATGGGAGACTGAGATAATGACACCTCTGCTTTAAGATGTTCAGTTTGTTTACATGGAACATCTTAAAGCAGAGGTTTCATTATCTCAGTCCCCCATGTAGACAACTTCAGGTTTTGGAATATTTCAGAATTCTGTATAAAGGATGCTCAACCCGGATAAAGGATAGCTCACCTGCTCCCACAATTTAAGAGAACTAATATCTAAAGCCTACGCCAGGGGTGATATATTAGAAGACCATGTTTAGCTGTCAAGATTTATCATGGAAGGTCAGAGAGAGTACATGTTCATTGTTAAGGCTTTGGTTTCAAAGTTGTTTCTGACTTATGGCAACTCTAAGCCAATCTATCACAGGGTTTCCTTGCCAAGACTTTGTTCGGAGTGTGCATATGTGTGTGTGTGTGTGTGCTCTCCTCTGAGGCCAAGAGGATGTAACTTGTCCAAGGTTTACCCAATGGATTTCCTTGATTAAGAGGCACTTTGAATCCAGTCTCCAAAGTCACAGTCCAGGGCTCAAACCACTACACCACACTGACTCTCTTAAATTCCATCTAGGTAAAGTAATGGTAAAGTAAAGATTTCCCTTGACGTTAAGTCTAGTCATGTCTGACTTTGGAAGGGTGGTGCTCAACTCTATTTCTAGACCGAAGAGCTGGCGTTGTCCGTCGACACCTCCAAGATCATGTGGCCAGCATGACTGCATGGAGTGCCATTACCTTCCTGCTGAAGCAGTACCTATTGATCTACTCACATTTGCATGTTTTCGAACTGCTAGGTTGGCAGAAGCTGGGCCTAACAGCTGGAGCTCACCCTGCTCCCTGGATTCAAACCGCCAACCTTTCAGTCAGCAAGTTCAGCAGCTCAGCGGTAAGGTTTATTCATGTGTAATTTTGAGATAAACTAGATTGAAAAAATTATAGCAAAGAATAAACAAATATTTTCAAAAGTTACCATTTTCCGTTTCCTAATTAAACTAAGGAAGATGAACTATATGAATATGAGCTATATAATTATATGGAGTATTACAATCCTCTGCCAATTTTCCAGCTCTGCTGTTTGATACTAAATTATTGAAAACTTGCAGACACAAAGAACATTTGTTGTCATTAGAACCCAGCTCTTCAATCCAGTGGGTTAAATCCAGCCATGGTCAGGCTTTAGTTGCATAGTTTTTAAGCTAATGATGACTGACTTATCCTCCACTTATTTCATTGAGTAATTTCTAAGTATGACTAAGGCCATGTCTACATTGGCCAAATAAAATGAGCTCACGTTGCAACTCTAGCAACTCCATATGACATACAGCTGGTTTTGCAGAAATGCTGTTTCCAGCCGTTAATTGAGCACAAAGAGAACTGCCAAGAGGCTTCGGGATTATCCCAATACTTTTGAGGTGTAGACAGTTGGATTGGGCCAGATTCAGCCCAATCTACACATTAAATAGACCTACCGGTGTGTTGCTGCCTAGAAGCAGTTCCTCAGCAAAACCTTATTGGTGACATCAGTTCTACTGAGTGCCCTGTTATGAACTCATGAGAAGCGACATCTTCAGTAAGGCTCTGCCAGTGAGTGGCTTTTGGCCTGTGAAATGATGACAGTGGCCCCAATGAGACCTCGGTCCAGCCAGCTGTCTAGACACCAAAGGGCTCCAGGGACTCTCCTGTTCTACACCCAGAGCAGCTCTGGGACAAAGATTAGTAAGTGCAGATGTAGCGTAAGTTTCAATTCAATCCACTAGTACAAATCCCATTTCAGAACATGCATAAAAACTGATGAAAGCTGGATAATCTTAAATTCCCATTAGACACCACGGCAATATTATCTGCTAAGACATAACAAATCACATCAAATCAATTGGATGGCAAAATATTTCTGCTTTGATTGTTTTACCAAGACGTAATAAGTTATAAATATGATAATTACATGATAAAGAGAAATGATTCAAATAGGGTCAGAAGTAAGAGCAGAGTATTCACCCCATTTCAGAACTGTGTACTGTACTCCAGAAGTTAGAAGTTTGGATTATTTAAGTTTTTTTTTTAATATAAATGGATTCAAAAACAAGAATTGAAATGTATGGATGCACTTCAAAAAAAAGTTTGATTGAGTCTGTAACAGCAATGAGCTTAGTTAAGAAATTAAGATGATTAAAGCTGGAAAAGCTCCAAGCAGTCCCAGAGAGACTATTTGCAATTTACTATAATAAAATTGAAGTTGAGTGATTTCTAAAGGCTGGAAAAAATGAATTTTACTCTAAGTTGTGAAAAGATGATATTGTGTGTGTGAGTACACACACACAGTTTATGAAGTTACAGTTAGAAAGTAAACCTATAAAAAATAACATGGAGCTTAATTTCTTGGTATAATACAGGTTGAACATCTTTTATCCAGAATTCTGAGATCTGAAATTTTATAAAATTCATTTTCCACATAGGTGGCTGAAATAGTGATACCTTTGTTTTCTGATGGTTCCATATATATAATCTTTGTTTCATGCACAAAATTATTAAAAACATTGTGTATAAAATTATCTTCAGGCATCAATGATCCAAAACATTTCTAATCCCAAGCCGTTTGGAAAAAGGATACTCAACCTGTATTCAAATTGATATATGGAGGGAAATATATTTTACTTTGGATACCAATTTAAAAGAACACCTGCAAAAGACAATACAAGTATGGTACTTCTTCCCAAATAAGTTGTTAAACATGTGTAAGAAATGTTTCAAATATTTGTAGGGGATTTTTTCTGTATCAGAAGCGATTTCAGAAACTGCAAGTCGCTTCTGGTATGAGAGAATTGGCTGTCGGCAAGGACATTGCCCAGGGGATGCCCAGATGGTTTACCATCCTGTGGGGGGCTTATCTCATGTCCCCACATGGGAAGCTGAAGCTGATAGATGGGAGTTCACCCTGTCTCGCAGATTCAAACTGCCAACCTTCAGGTCAGCAGTTCAGCTGGCAGTTCGCAATGGTTTAACTCATTCAAACTGCACCACCAAGGGAAAGAGGGTTCTTTTTCCATATGTAGGTGGACGTGATCTAAGATTTATATGTTAATAAAAGTTGTAATGTCACTAGAAATATTTCTGCTGGACATTATGGATAAAAAAGGGTAATAACTATGGGTTACATTTCAATATATGGTAAACAATACCAAGAACATTTTTCAAACAGACTGAAGTGCTGATGATGGAAGAATGGATTACTAAGTTTGCTGAGTTAGCCAAAAGGCATAAACAAATGTGGGTTTTAAAATGGTAAGCCAACTGAAGACTTTGTGAAATACTGGAAACTGTTTATGGAGTTTTTGAGCAATAAGAAACGTATTGCTTGGCCACGGTAGTCCACGCTCTGGTTACATCCCGTTTAGACTACTGCAACGCTCTCTACGTGGGGTTGCCTTTGAAGACAGCTCGGAAGCTTCAACTAGTCCAACGCTCGGCAGCCATGATTTTAACAGGAGCGGAGCGCAGGGAGCATACAACCCCCCTGTTGCGCCAACTCCACTGGCTACCGATCTGCTACCGGGCTGAATTCAAAGTGCTGGCGTTGTCCTTTAAAGCCCTAAACGGTTCCGGCCCAAGCTACCTATCTGACCGCATCTCTGCCTATGAACCCACCAGGACTTTGAGATCTTCCGGGGAGACCCTGCTCTCGATCCCGCCTGCTTCTCAAGCACGTCTGGCGGGGACGAGAGATAGGGCCTTCTCGGTGGTGGCTCCTCGGCTGTGGAACGCCCTTCCTACGGACATTAGACTAGCACCATCTCTAATGGTATTCCGCAAAAAAGTGAAGACCTGGCTGTTTGAGCAGGCGTTTGAGTAATTTAGTGCAATCTGGTAATGGAACATAGGAATGGAACAATGGACGACGAACCTGGACTACACTTGGATGATGAGAAGATAGGGTACGGTTGTTTTTTGTAATAATTGTGCATTGTAATTGCTTATTGGTAATTTATGGATAATGTGTTAAGTCAATTGTTATATGTTGTATGGAACCACTGCTGTTTCTACTGTTTTTACTGTTTGTGAACCGCTGTGAGTCACCTTCGGGCTTGAGATACAGCGGTATATAAGCAAAGTAAATAAATAATAAATAAATAATAAGTAATAATATGTGATTCTGGTTATTAATGATTAATAATTTTTCTACACATTACACAATAATTCAGGATGCTTAAAATAACATTTAACATTATTAGCAGGGCACCCTTAATCCTCAACAAAGAAGAGCTGTGAGCAGAGTGTCACAAGGCCAGACAATTAACTAAACTCAGCAAACAATTCAAGGAAAATGAAGTCTGTGTAGAACCTTTGGTCTAAATAGTAGTTAGCCTGAAGTCGAGTAAATACATGAATCAATGAGATTTATGTAAGTGTCACCTGGTTACCATTGATTTAATGACCCTACCTCTAGTTGAAAATAACAATTGGATTTATATCTGTGAAATCCAGCAGCAAGAGGACTGATATTAGTTTTGTTCCATGCCAAAGTGTCCTAAACAGCAATACTCGGTTATTGGGGTGGATTTTCTTTTCTCTCTCTCCAAATCTACCCCCTCATCCCTCTTTCTCCTTCGGTCTTCCTATTTGTTGGACCAACTTGAGAAACTTCAAGTCACTTCTGGTGTGAGAGAACTGGTTGTCTGTAAAGACATTGCCAGACACCCGAATGTTTGATGTTTACCATCCTTGTGGGAGGCTTCTCTCATGTCCCTGCATGGGGAGCTGGAGCTGACAGAGGGAGCTCAACCTGCTCTCCCTGGATTTGAACCACTGACCAGTCGGTCTTCAGTCCTGCTGGCACAAGAGTGTAACCCATTGCGCCAGCAGTGGCTTAAAAAAAGGGAAGCACCTGCTCAAATCCTAGCCGGAAGACTCATCTATTGAGGGCGTTGAGGTGCTTAGGCATCTCAGTTGGAGAGCGAACCTGGAGTACTGGGAACAGTATCAAAGGGCAGCCAAGAGTAGTAGCACAAAGGCTGGAAGGAGCAGCTAGAGGGCAAGGCAGGAGGAGCAACAAGAGGGCAACAGCTTCTTCCTCCCTTGTCACTGCTCTACTGCTGGTGGCAACAGTAAAACATTAACATGCATTTCAACGTGAGTCCTCTTGTAAACAAGATTTTTGATGAACTCCTCTTGTTGAAAAAAATAATAATTAAGAGCTGCATATCATTTTTAGGGTATTACACAGACAGGAGGTGGGGTGAATACTCAAAGATGTAGAAATAATTGTTAGTTATAGAGAGCTGCAAGTTACTTATTGCTTTTCACTTATAGTGACCACTGAAGACTCATCTTGAGTTCTCAAATTTCTAAATCTAAAACAAGAACAAAGATTAATGTGAGTTGTATTATACAAAAGAGTAAAAAAAGGATCTTCAGCCTTCCTAGTAATAATACTTGTGGAGATATACTTTGGTCTTGGCAGGATATTGAACAGATCAAGTAGATTTTAAATTAGTAGACTTATGGTAAAGTGCCCACCAAAGCCTGTATAAGTAGTCATCTTTAGAGTTGGAGAAGAAAGGCTATTTCAAACATCCTTCAAACTGACACAATTGTATTTCCCCAAATCCTCCATTCTGATCCCACACTCATGTAAACTCCTTTTCTTTGTTTCAAAACTCTCCGATTTGACTCAGAAAAGAGACAGCCTTTCAAAAACAGACTTCATTTTGGGTTTCTGTGAGTTTTCTGGGCAGTATGGCCAGGTTCCAGAAGCATTCTCTGCTGACATTTCATCTGCATCTATCTATGGCAGGCATGCTCAGAGGATGTGAGTCTGTTGGAAACTAGGAAAATGGGGATTATACATCTGTAGAATGTCCAGGCTGGGAGAAAGAACTTTTGTCTCTGTGAGGTAGGTGTGAATTGACCGCCTTGATTAGCGTTTAATGGCCTAGCAATTTCAAGGTCTGGCAGCTTCCTGACTGAAGGAATCCTTTGTTGGGAGGTAATTAGCTGGCTCTGGTTGTTTCTTGTCTGGAATCCCCCCACTTTTGAGTGTTGTTCTTTTTTACTGTCCTGATTTTAGAGTTTTTTAATATTGATAGCCAGATTTTGTTCATTTTCATGGTTGAAATTGTTCAGATGCTTCAATGCCTTCTCTGTGTAGTCTGACATGGTGGTTGTTAGAGTGGTCCAGCATTTCTGTGTTCTCAAATAATATACTGTTTCCAGGTTGGTTCATCAGGTGCTCTGCTATAGCTGACTTCTCTGATTGAAGTAGTCTGCAGTATGTTTCATGTTCCTTGATTCGTGTTTGGGCAATACTGCGTTTGGTGGTCCCTATGTAGACTTGTCCTCAGTTGCATGTTAGAGGATCCCTCTTGTCTGCCATAGATGCAGGCAAAACGTCAGGAGAGAATGCTTCTGGAACATGGCCATACAACTCAGTAAACTCACAACAGCCCAGTGATTCCAGCCATTAAAGCTTTCAACAATACATTCTCTGAGGTTGTGAGGTCTGTTGGAAACTAGGCAAGTGAGGTTTATATATCTGTGGAATGTGCAGGGTGGGAGAAAGAACTCTTGTATGTTGAGGCAAATGTGAATGTTGCAATTGGCCATCCAAACGTCAGGAGCGAATTCTTCTGGAACATGGCCATACAGCCTGGAAAACTCACAGCAACCCAGTGATTCCAGCCATGAAAGCCTTCGACAATAGACTTCATTTTATCTGTTGCTTCAAAGACAGGCTCCAGACTTTTTAACTCTCGTGCCAAGTTCACTCACAATGTGCCTTCCTAGTATTCGGCAAGGTTATTGCTAAATGAAAGTAATAAATGTGACAAATATGCTATTTCCAACTGTTTACTATATAATCTTGTAAACTGTTCCAATTTTACCTGTCATGTCATTTCAGCACCAGTCTTTTGTTTTTTCTCTTACATGTTGGTTACAAGCAATGGCACATTTTCCTGGTTTTATTATGGTGCTTAAGTGTTGCCAATTATTTAATGTTACCTACTTTAAATGGATAGTCCTAAATAGTTTCTAGTCTATCACTGTCATATGAAGACCACTCAGTAAACACTCTCTCCCGAATTACTAAATGTTTTGGTGCCATCTCTTTAAATTGCCTACTATCAGTTGGACAGATGACAAAGAGGCTATTCACACTTTCAGTTATTGGAAGACAGCTACATTTTAAAACAAGAACTCAGCTCCTACTCAATCCCCAAAGGTAAAGTACGTGCAGTCACATACAATAATACAAAACTGTGAAGCACAGATGTGCATTGAGGAGGATTTTTCTCAGCACATCACATTCTTAGCATTGAAATCTATCAAGGTTCAGTATTTGAATTGAATCAGCTTTGCAATATTTCCAGGCTGTACCAGGTTAAGCTAATATCAACAAGGAAATATTTATTCAGTCGGAAACTGTTTAGATAAGACTAAAGTACACTGTTAGAAACAATCTACTGCATCCTGCCTGACTTTTATAGGATAGTAGCAGCATTTTTTTTTAAATGCACCTGTTACAGAAAAAATAAGTTTAAAGTTTAAGAACATATAGGGTTATGCTGGCAGAATTCTACCATTCCCTTCTGCACATTGTATTCCTTTAAATTCAGATCACTTCTAGTTCTGCGTTATTTATAAGAACACATATGCTTAGAGAGGGATTGCAGAAAAGTAGGGTTATCTGGCTCAACCTAAAATAAGTGGGCTTTTTCAAAAAGTGTATGACAGGTTTTGTGTGGTGGTAAGGTCAACACTTCCTAGAATTCATGTACCATCACAATTAACAGCACATTAGAGGAAAAAAAGTTAACTTACTTATGCCTGACAGTCTGTACCGTCTCTTTAGAAACATTCTGAGCAATGCATTTTGCAGCGCTTTCTAAACCTTGCCATATTGTAGAAAACCCTGCAAGAGTTGGCAGCTTGTTAGAACAAGAAAGTCTTGAACATTATATAATGCAAGTTCAATCACACAGTATAGGAGAGGTCTTTAACACTACCTTGGACTCCACTTGCTGCTACAACTAGAGCTCCATCGAATGTAGATTTTCCATCTTTGTCTTTCTTCAGGGACTCTGGAACCAGTTTGCTTCCATGCTTCTTGACATGAGGAGCTAACTCTTTCCCAACACAACTTGCTATAGAACACACACCTTCAACTAAAACAGAAAAAGTTATTGCTTTTTATATTTTATTTCTCCTGCTAGGTGATATTATATTATTTCAAACAGCAAACAAAATAACTATGCTGGCTTTTGTATTGGCTCACAAGTGTCTAGGACTGTGTGATGTATCGGCGAATAATGCATGCAGATCCAAGTAGAGTGGCCTTTTGCAGCTGATAGATGGTAACTTCGTCAGTGCTGATTGTTTTTAAGTGAAGGCCAAGGTCTTTAGGCACTGCACCCAGTGTGCCGATCACCATTGGGACCACCTTTACGGCTTTGTGTAATAATAACAACAACAACAACAACACTTCATTTATATTCCATTCTATCTCCCTGAGGGGACTCTGAGCGAATTACAACATACACAGATAAGCAAACATTCAGTGGTTTTAATACAGTGAAATAACAATGACACACAAATACAAAGAACAAAGGTAAAGGCTTTCCCTTTCACCTCCGGCTTCTGGAAGTGGTGCTCAACTCTGGCCGTGGGGAGGTGCACTTTTTCTATTTCCAAGCCAAGGAGCCTATTGTCCATAGACACCTCCTGGTTGTGTTGCCGGCGTGGCTGCATGGGCACCTTTATATTTGAGGCTTGTACAATGTTTTAAATTAATGGCTCATTTTTCCCTGGCAATATTATCAGGTTGGTTTGATATAGTAGTTAAGATTGCAATATTTTAGCAGAAATATCTCCAAGTTCTTATCACAATCTAGATAATTAAAGCTGTTCAAACAGGATACAATTATTTGTGCTTATAAACAGAGCAGATGTTGTTCCTATCACTCAATGCTCAAAAGCTTCCCCCTCCCACCCCCAAAAGGTAATTTCCTTTTCCATTCCAGTTTTAATAGGGCAAAAGAACAGAGCTCAGAGATAAAAAGGAATGGCCCCACATTCAGCTGGTTGCATCTCCAGTTTGGAGACTAGTGACTTCACTGAATGACCACTAACAGTTCAAGGCCTTATAAAAATTAAGTGTCCAATTATTTTAAGAGTATAACTTCCAGGCATCTGTATGCAAGATTAAGGCAAATGTAAGCTTCTTCAAATCCTGCTTAGCTCAGAAGCTGAGTGGGTGGCCTTATGCCAGTAAGGAAATCACATGTTAAGGTATCACGCAGGCCTAATGCAAGGGTAAAGTGAGACAATTTCCATCAGTGGTCCTCAACCTTCCTAATGCCGTGACCCATTAAGAAAATTCCTCATGTTGTGGTGACCCCCAAACATAACATTATTTTCTTTGCTACGTGATAACTGTAATTTTGCTACTGTTATGAATCGCAATGTAAGTATCTGATATGCAGGATGTATTTTCATTCACTGGAGCAAATTAGGCACAAATACTTGATACACCCAAATTTGAATACTGGTGGGGTTGGGAAGGGTTGATTTTGTCATTTGGGAGTTGTGGTTGCAGGGATGTATAGTTAATGTACAATCAAAGACATTTCAAACTCCACCAACGATTGAATTGAATCAAACTTGGAACACAGAACTGCTATGACCAACAGAAAATACTGGAAGGGTTTGGTGAGCATTGACCTTGAGTTTTGGAGTTTTAGTTCACCTACATCCAGAGACCACTGTGGACTCAAACAAGGATAGATCTGGACCAAATTTGACAGAAATACTCAGTATGTCCAAATGTGAACACTGGTGGAGTTTACAGTTATGAAGAAGCAAATAAACTAATTTTATGTTTGAAAATAGACCTTGACATTTGGGAGTTGTAGTTGCTGGGAATTATAGTTCACTTACAATCAAAGAGCATTCTGAACCCCACTAACAATAGAACAGGGCCAAACTTCCCACACAGGATCCCCATGACCAACAGAACATATTGTGTTTTCTGATGGGCTTTTGTGACCCTTCTGACACCCCTTCACAACCCCCCCAGGGGCCCCAACCCCCAGGTTGAGAAATGCTGACTTACATACACACTGCCACAACACTCTTAATGAAAGAAAAGACTGAAAAGGCCTAAAATTTGCTGGATAATATATGTTTGCTAGAAAGCATCTGGTGTGAACTGTACCATGCTACTGGGACTTGAGAGATCGAGCCTCTCAAGGGGAATTACCACAAATAGCCTCATTCTATAGAGGCTAAAAGATCTGTCTGTGGTCTCACATATATCGTGTTCATTTAGGCCTTATGACAGAGAACATATCATGTTCATTTTAAGCTCTATGGTGGAGCACCCCCATCTCCCTTCCAAAGTGGTCTTTTGTTTGTAGTTAAAAGAAATCAAAATTAGTTCATGCCCCTTTTAAAAAAAGAAATAAATATTGAAGAAATTGACCCTATTACAGTCTCATGAGTTGTCACAAAGTATTCTAGTTTTCACATCTTACCTAAGAACTGGCTGACTTTCACAGCTCCCCCCGTAGCTTGCTTTGCTACATGGAGCCCCTTTGATACAGTTGGACTAACTTCCACGGGCTTCTCCTCTGGCTGAATGTGTTCCCTTAGTTTCGAAGCTCCTTTGTGGATTGCTTTGCCAGTATACTCCGCTCCTTTGACCAGTCCCCAGCTCACCCAGGACGCTCCTATAGAAAAACAAAGACAACCCCCCAACTGGCACAATAGTACTATTATTTAGTTATTTATTTATTATTTACAATATTTCTATCCCGCCTTTCTCAAGCCCGAAGGCGACTCAAGGTGGCTACTATCAATCCTCTTCATCTAGGCTCAAGAAAGAAATATGGATAAAATTTGATCTGTTTACTTTAGTCCAATTTAATATACCAAAATAACAAAGAGCAGCAAACTGACATACATTTGCACCTCCCATATAATCCAGCCTAGGCACAATCCCAATTTCTGAAGGCAGCAGGAACACTGCAAGGATAGGAAATAGTTGCCTGTCTTGATATAGAGCCAATAAAAGAAGAGCTTGTCACACTTACAACAAAAAGATCTTTCCTGTCCTTCCTTCTTACAATACCTACTCTAATGGAATCTAGTCTATAAGCAATGGAAGCTTGCTTAGCTATTTCTGTCTCTCATTCAATAATAACTCTGGACTGAGTCTGAGGAGTATCAAAGCCCCAAATGCCATGGGACCTAGACATTTGGGGAATGTCTTTTCAATTATTAGGAATAAGCCAGTTGGGGCAGAAAGTGGAGATCCAGGGTTTAATGACAAAACAGATTGATTTCCAACATGTGACATTGCTACTGCATATATTTGAGTATATGCCGTTGGAATATAAGACAAGACATCTGCTTTTACCACAAAAACTGGGAAAACATATTGACTCGAGTATAAGATGAGGGTGGGAAGTGCAGCAACTACTGGGACATTTCAAAATATAAATAGATACCAATAAAATTACATTAATTGAGACATCAGTAGGCTAAATGTTTTTGAATATTTACATAAAACTGTAATTTAAAGTAAGACTGTTCAACTCTGATTAAACCATTATTCTAACCTTCTTCAATGTAAATGTGCTTACGTTCTGGTTGAGAAGAACAAATCCTATTTCTCATGCCCTAAGATACTGATGCTACAGTGTTAAATAGAGAGTATACTACCATCTGGGGACTAAATGGCCTAAAACAGTGGTTTTCATCCTGTGCTATATAAAGGCCTAAGGGTTGCTCCAGGGAAATAAATAAAATTGAATAAAATTAAAGTAAAATCAAAATAAAATTAGAAATTATATTCTGAATGGAAATTTGAGATATTATGGTATGATTAGCATTTAATGGCCTTGTAGCTTCAAAGCCTGGCTTGTTGCTGCCTGGGGGGAATCTTTTGTTGGGAGGTGTTAGCTGGCCCTGGTTGATTCTTGCCTGGAATTGCCCCCCCCCCTTTTTTTTTTAGTATTGCTCTTTATTTACAGTCCTGATTTTTGAGTTTTTTTTAAATACTGGTAGGCAGATTTTGTTCATTTTTATGGTTTCCTCCTTTCTGTTGAATTTGTCCACAATAGTAAAAACAGGGGAATTCCAGACAAGAATCAATCAGGGCCAGCTAACACCTCCCAACAAAGAATCCCACCAGGCAGCAACCAGCCAGGTTTTGAAGCTGCAAGGCCATTAAATGCTAATGAAGGTAGCTAATTGCAACATTCACACTTGCCTCAAGCAGACAAGAGTTTTTTTCTCCCACCCTGGACATTCCACAGATATCTAAATCTCACTTGCCTAGTTTCCAACAGACCTCACCACCTCTGAGGATGCCTGCTATAGATGTGGGCAAAATGTCAGGAGATAATGCTTCTGGAACATGGCCATACAGCTTGGAAAACTCACAGCAACCCAATGCTAAATACACTTTCTAGCCAAATATTAATACAGCAAACCTAAAGATGTGTGGTTGCCAACACCGAGAAAATAATACAGCCAGAAAGCAGCTAAAATAGCTGTAATGTTTGTACTGTGTTGCTTCACAGCTGTTTCACTCATTCTCCAGGAGACAGTAAAAATACTGACTATACCACATAAGATGGCTGGCACATCATATTTTCAAATGCTTTCATGCGCAGAGGTTTACATTCAATAAGCAGGAAAAGAAAAATGACAGCTTTACTCCGCAGAGGCAACTTTTTATATGGCAAAGCACTCAAAAACATTCCCCCTGCCGCAATAGTCTAAAGTGGCATAGGAAAACTAGGATTTAAATTACAACCAGCCAGTTCTTTTCTCAATTTGTTGAATGACATGTACTATTCATTTCAAATATATGAACATAGTTTGGGATCCATATAACATGGGGGCCATAGCTTTCCTTAAATGGGACTATAGTGCCCAAAATCTGAAAATAAATCCTCTTAATATCACAAATGCCCTAGGTTTGTATACATATATATAATCTAATTTTTATAACATATGTGTTTCTGTCGCATCCCAATGCCAAACAAAGGTAATGCCAGAGAAAACAATCTTCCTGCTTCTATCATGTGAATTCTAAACAGTTCTATTTGCAGAAGTATCTAGCAGTTGTGCTCTTAGAAAGGAAAATAAACCACCACATTCCCCTATGAAAAGAGACTAGCTTAAGACGGTGCTGTTCCTATTCAGAGGATACCTGATAAGATTCCCTGGGCTATTTTCTCACTCCAGACAGGTAACTCCCGTTCCCTCTCTTCAGGCACTGGTTGAACAGGTACAGTGTGGCTGAGGTTAATGGCATCACTTGAAGCTTCACCTGGCTGGAAAAAAAATGAAAAGACATAGCTATGGATAACAAATAGTAAGAGCAAAAGTAAAGGAAAGCTGTAAGGTAGTTATCTGGCAATTTTCTGTTGTCACTGTAATACTTCCCATTCCGTCCTATACAACTGTGCTGACATCACTAACTCTGGTTTCAGTTGTGGGAGCCAAGGAATCTAGATTTAGTTGCACGCCCCATTATCTCCAAAACATAAGCACTGGACACACTTTATTGTTGTTTTTGTGTACCTTCAAGTCATTCCCGACATAGCAATACTATCATGGGGTTGAGAGTGTATGATTCACCCAAGCCACTGGATTTCCGTGGCTAAGAATGGAATTGAGATAAGCACCACCCTCCAGAGTCAGACTCAACTAGACTATATGTCAAAGGAAAACCTTTACCTTTACCCTAGTTACATAATCTCACTTTGATTTACTAGACTGGCTTCTAGATTCAAGAACCAGAGGGATTCAGTGAGGTTAGTTCAGAAACACAACCTTTCTCCGTTCTAGAAAAGTTTTATTTTAGAAACTAAATGGGGTTTCCCAGTTATTTTTTTCATACTTTTTTTTGTTCTGATTAATATGATTACTTAATTATTTGGCCTTGTTTTTTTTAAAAAAAAATAGTAGCATTTCATATTTTTTTATTATCCACTTTGGATTTTTTTTAAGTATAAAGGCAGATTATGTGTAATGACACATGTTTCAGAATGAGAAGGTTGGATTTTTCCCATCCTCATTGCCTTCCGGTATTATTAAGTGTCCACACATTGCATCCCTTTGTTTAGAAAATCAGGAGTGCAAGGAGAACGCTTTTATGAAAGATCGAGTGAAAAGAAGGGTGGTTTTATCCTACATGTTTTTCCCCTTTTGAATTTACAAACAATAGAACTGCATTCATTTCATTTCTCTCTGGCATTTTGCATGCTGGCACAGCCAGGAACAAGAGCATGTGACATGTCTTTTGTTGTTACAGAGGGAAATAACTAACAGCAACAGATTTTAGATTAGGAACCAGACATCAAACTGCAGTTAAAGAGAAAGCAACAGCAATTATGGATAGAGAAGCATACTGAAAATATATTATTTTGACATGTTATATTATAATATAACATTTATATGTATGTCTACCAAATATACACAATGTGTGTGTCTACCAAGATACACAATCACAGTTCCAAAAAAGCTTCACGGATTTGACACCAGTACGCTAAAATTCTGACACTATCCCTTTTTTCATGTAAAGGACTAAATGCAATTATTATTAATCCTTTCTAGAGCAGTAGCCATTTAATCTTCTGTTGTTGGAAATAGCAACCTTCCAAGCCTCCACTAACTGTTTGTAAATGTGTAAAATTGTTAACCTATATTGTATGTACATTTTGGTTTGCCAGTTTGACTGTACCTCTTTGGTGTGGGAGGTTCTTCTTACACGGGACTCCATTGTTGTTATATTGTTTGCATCAGATCTCAGTGGAGGTAGAGGTACGTTGCTGTTTGGACTTCAGTAGTAAAGTATGACTTGTGGACTTCAGTGAGTACAGTTATACTTAAAGACTATGGACAATTGATTAAGTACTCTGTGTACTCAACACCGGGAAGAAACTACATCTATTTAAGTGAACTCTAATAAGAAATGTGCCTGTATGGTGAATATATACAAGTTGTTTATGAATAAATATGTTATTTTTAAGGAAGACTACTTTGTTTTCTCTTGAGTGCATATTTTAAACAAGAGGTTTTTAAGGGAGAATAGATGGGCAACTTCAACTTCAAAGAAACAACCATCCTCTGCTAACCAAATATATTTTTGTAGTGGCATGTCTTTATCCTTGGCAGTTTAAAGACACGGTTTTTCAGTTTAACAGCTGAGTTACCTGTGTGCCATTACATTAATGCTTATGAATATCACTTGTTTAAAGAGTTCACTTCTAACAAGGTCATTTTTCTTTTACTAGTGGTTTTCAAAAGGTGGTCTCCACATATTCATGGAAAGTCACATTTGCTAAACGGGTGTAACATCATTTTTACCTTTTCAATAAGGTTACGGTACAGTTATTTCCAATAGGTTATGGAATTTCCAATGTCTGTTGAATGCTAAATCAGCATTTATGTGACTCCTACTTATTCAGTTGGACTTCTCTATTTGATACTGGCAACTGGATTTGGGCTAGTAACTTCAGTTGACCCAAGAACACAATAATTTTTCATTAGAATGTACCATTTAGATAAATATATTTCTATTAATATCTCCCATAAGAAATTCATGGAACATATTTTGCTGCAAGTCAATTTCTTGGTGTGATACAATGGTCACTACTCTAGATAGGTGAACAAAAAATATTTGATCTTCTTCCTAGAATTGCTGGGTTGACCTCCCATTTGTATCTATTCCTGACATCCTTGGATATCAGTTAAAAATAGCCCTGACTCATGTGAACAGCAGGAGCTAAATGTAAGTAACTGACATATATTTCCAATTAATCCGCTATAAGCTCCTTAAGTGTGTCACTGTGAAACAGAAATAGGTATTTGGTAACCCAAACTCAAGCTCAAAACAAAGATCAGATCAAAGCTCACTCAAATTTGTTAAGTTGCCAGTCAACCAGAACCAGTATTAGTACAGTAGTAATATTTGTTTTTAAACCAGTTTCTAAACAAGCGGAGATCAGTATCTGTAGATTTATTTAGTCATGTCTGATAAAATATATGATCTCTATGCATTTTCAGGGTCCCCAGAATCATTCTAAGGTAATCTTAGATCAGTTCTTCATTGCAATAGGGTTTGCTATTGTTTGAGGTTTTGCATATACATGCGAAATCTGAGAAAGTGTCCCACATTATTATAGGGGCTATACTGTATACTGAATTTGCATTGTTGTATGCTTGATATAACACAACATCTTAAAATCTTGAATGTCAAAATTTCCCCCTCTTCACCCAAAAGCACCTAATTGACAAAAAGCTAAACATGAAATATTCTTTGCGAACACTCTCGTGGTTCTTAACAAAATAAAATTGCTCAATAACTTTTACATTTAACATGGTATCTTCTGGTTTATAACTGTCTCCAACCGTTTCCTGGTTGTTATAATCTTGGTACATGATGTTTAACCATTATTACCTCTAAAGCTAGGAACATGGAGGGGAGCATGAGAGTGTGCAGGCCTCAAGAACTGGTCTCAGTCCAATCTCAAGACAATGTATATTACATGAACCCATTTATTTTTAATTCGTATTAATTAGGCCACTCTACCAAGAAATATGTTAATTCAAGAAATGAAACTAATTGTTCCATCTTCTAAATTTTACTGACTATCAAAGTTGTATGTACACAGAATTGGTCTGATGCACGGGACCATCTCATAACTTCTGTCCTTTATGTACACAGAATCTATTTCATCCCTGATATATTCTGGTACTCAAATATCTTTTTCTAATTTCATTATATTCTCATTTTTGTATACATGCCATATTATTACAGACTGCCAAGCAATATTTCCTCAATTTTTGAAATGAGATATTTATTTATTTATTTATTTATTTATTTATTTACTTCATTTATATACCACTTTTCCCACCCCTGGGGGACTCAAAGTGGTTTCCAGCATATTCACTGAAAAATTCAATGCCTTACAAAACATAAAAACCTAACATGAAAATCACAAGATCCAAAAGCATGGTCCAGGCACATGTATCGAGTGTTTTCAATGTTTACATTTAATGTATAATTCTTTGCTGCTGGCACATTCAGTTAACAGCCAATAAACCCCACACCACAAAACAAAGGCAATTCCTTATTAAATTTTAAATGTGTAAATGTAGTAAGAGTGAGTCACCACTTAAAAATCATAGCCTTAAAATTTACCTTGGCTATGAGATCAGGTTTCTGTTTTAATAGATCCTCAAAAAGCTCTTTGTGAGATCTTGGGAGTTGCCCCTCATTGGATCCTGGAACCTGTGGTACCATATCGAGGACATGAATAGATTCACAAGGATGAAGGGTCAACAATGCATCTATTCTGCACTGGTCAACAAGTAATAATATCACACAGTGCAGAGAAGTTCTGTTTCTATGAAGCACACGCAGGTAGACTCAAGCATTAGTAAATCTCCCCATATGTCTGAGGAATATAGGAATAAGTAATTTCAAAATCAGATCGTTGACCATCAGATGACTGACAGCTGAAACCACTCTTTTATAAAATAGTATATATATATTCAACAACAATGCTAATAAATTTAGCATTTAAAGATCATGTATTAAAGACTGGTTATCCCTTACCCAAAATATTTGTGGCCAAAAAAGTTTGGGATTTTTATGGGTGTCAGAATACCACATTAGTATATACATCCATATTTAGGTATCTTGGAGATGGGACCCAGGTCTAAGCACAAAATTCATTTACATTTATTACACACCTTATCAATATAGCTTGAAAATAATTTATATACAATATTTTTAATATTTTCGTGCATGAAACAAAGTTTATGTACACTGAACCATCAGAAAGCAAAAGCATCACTATCTCGACCACTCATGTGAAGAGTTTTGGATTTTGGAGCATTTTCAATTTCAGAACTCTGGATAAGAGATTTTCAATCTGTACACCTTCCCCCCACCCTCATTTTTCAGTGTTCAATTTTTATTTCATTACTTGAAAAAAATCTAATTGGAAATTTGCCTTCTCTGACTTCTACTTTCTATCTTCTTAAAGTGGAATTTCTTTGCTGGAGTAATGGACCATCAAACAATATTTGCAGATTTCATGAGGAGAGTGAACAAATGGCCTCTTCATGATTAAAACTGACTATCCCAAGCTTTGAAATCATTTTTAAATATTTATAAGGATAATATTTTGTTTACTTTTCTGGGAACAAGTGCTCTGGACACAGCATTCCTTCATCAATAGTATCCCCCTAGAGCTAATTAAAGAGATCCTGAGAGCAGGGGGAGTTCTACTTTCCTCATCTTCCCTGCCCTTCAGAAAACTACACCTGAAACTAATTTTCAGCCAAATTCATTCAGATGTGGTGCAATAGGTTAAACCCTTGTGCCGGCAGGACTGCTGACCAACAGGTCAGTGGTTTGAATCCGGGGAAAGAGGGATGAGCTCCCTCTGTCAGCTCCAGCTCCCCATGCGGGGACATGAGAGAAGCTTCCCACAAGGATGGCAAAACATCCAGGCATCCCCTGGGCAACAACCTTGCAGACGGCCAATTCTCTCACACCAGAAACGACTTGCAGTTTCTCAAGTCACTTCTGGCATGAAAAAAAAAATCTGAGGTTTTCCAATATGGACTATCTTCTACATCCTCAAAGAAAAGTCCTTGTGCCAACAATATTGAAGTGTATTGTGTTTCATGAACTACATAATTCAAGAGCTCGCCAATGTCACCCAATGAGCCCCGTGCATTGTTTTTCTTACATCAGCCTAATGGATGGGTTTTTATTAATGCTGGTGTTTACCTGCACTCTGAGGTCAGACATCTGTTTTAGCAGATCTTCAAACAGCTCTCTGTCAGCAGCAGGAAGTTCTGAAGATAGCACCACTCCCACATAAGACCCTGACACCTGAGACATCAAGTCAGGAAACATGTAGACCCCAGTGTTACAGGAGAGGACAGGCGACTGGTTGCACATAAGAGGATACAGCCAGTCACAGACCTGGAAGAAAGAAGGCAAAAAGGGCATACTGAAATAAAAACCATGCCAGTTAATGAATAATACATTAGCACATAGGAAATTTCAAGTTAATTTCAAATACCAAAGAATCTATAACTCTGACCGAACAAACCCAACAGTTGAAAATTGCATCCCTCTTGTGCATATTATTAGACAATATCCACAGGGCTATTTCCAGACCTGCATAAAATTCATTGTGTAAAATGTAGCTTCAAAAACACCATGCTGTGGCTCTTGCATTCTGGACACTAATCCTGAACATAAGGTGGCCATTGCTAAATCATAAAATTAAAATCCTATGTCACTGTGTACCTATAAAATTAATGTAGGCCTAATTTAAAGAGGCTTCAAGAGCAGAAGCCTGTGTGTCATCTTCTCACTATGAATTTTTCAGTTGGTATTTCCAGAACACCTTTTGACAATCCCTGTTCCAAGACAGAACAAACACATTAGCTGAATTTCCCTAAGGGGAAATCTCTAATATTTAGGGCCAGGTTAATTCAAATACCACATTCTCCCTTCCTGTATTTTGAGATGTTCGCAACCATTTTGTTCACTCCAGCACCTTCAGAGACACATTGGATGAGGAAAAAGAGAGCTTTTGTTGGAGGAAGCAACCTCTCAAGCCTCCTCTATGTGATGTTTTGTAATAATGTTTTATTAGGATGTCATTTTGTAACCTAAAGTGTATGTCTTGTTTGTAGTTTGCAGTTACCTCGTCTCTTTGTACTGAAGCAGTAAGAGGGGTTGTGATCATGTGACTGATGGTCATTCAGGTTTTTTTTTTAAAGGAATGCCAATTAGAGAAGTCAGTCGAGCTTTGAGCCTTGTTAGAGAATGTCAGTTGGAGCTAGAAGTTTCTTAGGGCCCCTCCAAACAGGCCCTATATCCCAGGATCTGATTCCAGGTTTTCTGCTTTAAACTCTATTAAACTGGATTTCTTAGTGTGCAGAAGCTAATGTTAGAAGCTAGCAAATTGTTGAAGCTTGTATTTTCTTTTAAAGCCCCATGAGGAGCAGCTTAAAGAGCCAAGAATGTTTAGCCTTCAGAAGAGAAGGCTGAGAGAAGACATGATGGCCATGTATAAATATGCAAGGGAGAGTCATAGGGAGCAGGCTTGCTTTCTGCTGCCCTGGAGACTAGGATGCAGAACAATGGCTTCAACTACAGGAAAGCAGATTCCACCTGAACATTAGGAAGAACTTCCTGACTGTGAGAGCTGTTCAGCAGTGGAACTCTCTGCCCCGGAGTGTGGTGGAGGCTCCTTCTTTGGAGGCTTTTAAGCAGAGGCTGGATGGCCATCTGTTGAGGGTGCTTTGAATGTGATTTTCCTGCTCCTTGGCAGGGGGTTGCACTGGATGGCCCACAAGGTCTCTTCCAACTCACTAATTCTATGATTCTAAATGAGCTCTTATTGAGGAGAGCTGTGTGGAGCAGCATAGTTCGTGATGAAACAGTTAAAGTTTATAGGTTTTAAGATACAAAGTATTTTAACCCTCAAAAGAAATATACCTGTATCATTGAGGGCATGAAGTAATATGTCAACAGACATTGTTATTCTAAAAGAAGTCTGCCTGAATCTTTACCTGCCTAAAGCATCAAATAAACTCAAGGAATACTTCTCTCGAACTCTGCCAACCCTGATGGGTTGCAATCCTAACAGGTCATGATCCATCTATCCATTATCTCCAATAGCTTTCCTGGTGTCTGCTCCCTGGCTGTAGATGTCCCTACTAAGAGAAAAAGACTTTTTTTCTACTCAATTGGGTTTTTGGGAAATGCACTAGAATTTTAGAACCTTTAACTGGGAGTAGACTGTTTTTCTACTAATGATTTCTTTTTAAATGTGTTGTAGATCACTTTTATAATTTAACTAGTTTTTTGTATCCGGCAGTGCCTGGGTTATTTGAAAAAAGCATTGTTTGTTTTGTGGTGTTAGGCAATACCATTTAGTTAATTAGTATCACATTTATTAGGAAAAAGCCAGTCTTTAATTTTGTTTTTTATTAATGCTCCCTTCAAAAAAAAAAAAACATAACTATGTGGGTGAACTACAAGGTCAATTCCCCCAAACCTGGTCATGGGGGTTCTGCATGCCAAATGTGGCCCAGGTCCATAATCGAAGGGGGTCACAGTGCTCTGCCTTGATGCAAGGTGAACTACAACTTCCATCCTGTTGAGTCAATCCCCCAAACCCCTACAGTCTGTTCAGTTGCTGATCAATTCTTCTGTGTTTCCTGTGTGCCATAGGAAAGGGTAGGAGAGGTTTAAGGGAGAGGCAGTGGGTGGGGTCATGCAAATTCCACACAAGGAACCCTGGGATGCCTGCCTGTGGTGGAGGAAACACATCAAATTGAGGATGAAATTCTCCCCAAATGAAAGCATTCCTTGAGGAGAGGGCCATAGTGTTTGGGGAGGACATTGGCAGTGTTTGGGCTACATATTCATGGCACTCACTGTAATCTGCAATGTCAGTTGAGGGAGTGCCTATGGAGGCTTCTCAGCACTTGGAACTATAGCCTGTTTGTGGAGGTAGGAGGCTGTCTGTGTAAGTGGACACCTCTGCCACATACACACACATTTTTCAGATTATTTGCCTTACTTTTCATGGTAGTCCTTTGTGAGAAAAGGCAGGATATACATTAATTGAATCTTAGAGTTAGTAGCCGCTTTGAGTCTCTTTGTGGAGACAAAAAACAGGGTATAAATAAACATAATATTAATAATAGAGACCACAAGGATCATCCAACCAAACTCCAATCAGCCATGCATAAATACAAACTCAAAGCTCTGCTGACAGCCTCTGTTTATAAACCTCCCAGGCAAAGTACTCCCACCATGAGGAAGTTCTTTCTAATGTTTAGATGGAATTTTTTTTCCTGCAGTTTGAATCCATTGCTTTATATTCTAATCCCTGGAGCAGTAGAAAACAAGCTTGTTCCCTCCTCAATATGACATCCATCCAATCAAATATATAAATAAAAATTGTTGACAACTCTTGAATGAAGACCACCTCAATGCCTTCCGAATAAATTAGACATCACTGAAGCAGAAATCTAGATCTTACCTGAAGGAAAGCAGGAGGGCGATTCTGGGCCACCGCAGCATCAGCATCCAAAAACCTCACAATGCGAAGGTATCCTGGATACGAGGGAGCACTGACTTGCCCATCAGGGGTGACATAAAATATCTGCACCCCACTGGGAATGAGGATCAACTCATCAGCATCTACTCCAAAATTCTGCACTGGAGGTGGCTGTGTGCATTTTGTGTAGAAGTCGTTGCCAACCGATGAGAATTCTCCGGAATCTGTCCCGTACGAGACGGTATAGTGCCCATTGGTGGCCTCCGGGGTATAGGCTGGAGGCGCTTCATTTGGCATTGAAGACGAAGAACTCATCACACCTATCTGCCCCTGCCTTCCACCTGCTGCAAGCGGCTGAGAAGGTGGAATCAGTGAATTTGGTACTGGAGGCCTCTGTGGCTTTTCTTGGGAAGGAACTGCTGGATATAACCTGGGTGACTCTGCAGGAGGAGCTTCTGGAGTAGAAGGATTTGTATTATTATCTAGGATGCTCAAGCGAGCACGAACGTTTTCCAGAGTCTCTCTCATTTTCTGTTGCATTTGCCAGGCAGATTCCCAGCGTGGTCCAGTGCATTCAGGGCCTTGAGATGGAAGGCTAACACCCTTTGCCAAGTGGTTCAAACCCTGCCGATAATAATCCCGTGCCTTTCCCTTTTGTCCCAATTCATCTGCATTCAGGGCCTTATTAACAAATGCAAAAGCTTTCCTGTATTCTTCTTCAATCGCCTTCACATTTGCATCGTCTTGCATAGCTGGATCCTGCTGTTGCTCCATTGCTGAAAAGGGAAATAAAATATAAATAAAGGAAGATAAAATAAAATGAAAGGTAACATTTTTATAGCTTTCTCCAACCTGAAAGGCTGGGAAAAACCAGATTAGGCAATACCTGTTTAACTACTCAGAAATTTGAGGATCCCAACACAAACAAAAGTAAGTCATATGCATTGTTTTTATTATATTTTGTTAATATAATATTTTATTTCAGAAGTTTTTCAATAACTGAAAAGCTTCTGAAATCTTTTTTATATTCCAGGATGTATCAGTATTTATTTAGTGGGCTGCTCTCTTACTGATGCAAAGTCCAAGTTTTCCATCAGTAACAGATCTGCTTCTCATCAACTCTAGATTTAATGGCAGTCTTTGAATAACTTAGTTTCTTAAAATCCCAGCTTTCATATGTGTTCAAAGCTTGTGTCAGAAACAGGGATGTAACCTGAATTGTTACAGTCCATAAGAAGTTATTTTCAACAATGCTCCTGACAGTGATGTATGTTTTCAAATCACCTGTTGACTTATGGTGACCTCATGAATTTCATAGGGTTTTCTTAGGCAAGAAATATTCAGAGGTAGTTCTGCTAGTTTCTATTTCCAAAATATAGCCTAGAGTTACTTGGAAGTCTCCCATCCAAAGTACTAATCTGGGCTGACCCCAATTTGCTTCCAGGATCAGATGGTATCTAGTGCTTTTTTGGTATTTAGGCTTTAGTTTTTGTAGATCAGCTAGAGAGTGATGGTTTAACGGATGATTTAGAGAGAATTGGGAACTTTCCTGTGGCACAAAATGAAGGGCCTTTAAATCTGGGAAATCCAAGCATGGGAAATTATTGTTTTCTCTGTGATAAAACTGGCTTGGAAAGTGCAGAGCCTCAAGAGGATTTAGAGGAGTAAGAAGTAGCAACAGTAGATAAGGAATCAAGTGAAGAGATGAGTAATTTAAAAGGGCTCCCAGGAGAAACTACCTGTAGTTACGGAGATCAACAAAAGTTTTTATATACAGATTAGAGCAGAAAATAGATTGCATTGTTCAGAAAGATTACGTGGGACAGTATTGGGAAAAATTCATGGGAAATGGAATGGTTTCATGGGTGTCTATTAAACAGCAAGTTGTTTATCTTAAGGTCAGTCCAAGCAATGTAGAGTGAGAAGCTAAGCCTGAATTTTTCTGGTTCTTGGTTCTAGTCAGGCCTTGGTTTTCTATGTTCCTGTATTCCTGTTCAAGTTTTTACTAGTTATACCTTCTTGCTTGTGGACTTATGCTGTATCTGTAATTTCTGTTCCTGGACTTGGTCACCTTTGGAACTTTATGAGACATTTGGAGTACTGTTTGGTTATCACCTGTTACTAGACCTTCTTGGATTATGTATCTTCTTTTTTATTCCTGATTTTTTATATAACTTTTATGTGTTTTTAAAATAAGCTGTTTGCTTATATTCCTGGACTCTTGTGTGGTGCGGTGGTAATATGAGTGCAACATTAGTCCTGACAGTGATTCTGAAAACACACACACACACACACATATATATATATTATAATAATATGTGTGTATATGTGTAATAGATTCTCAGTTAACCAGCACTTGTGGGAATTGGTAAGTGTAGTTTCTGGTTGCTTGAGAGTTACTACTAAAAACAGCCCTAAATAATACTATACTCATACCATAAATTCTATACTGACTTATTATTAATATTAAAATGCAGCAATTAAAACAAAAGAAGACAAATCAAGCGTAATGTAACACTGCTTTACTGCATTATAAAAACAGTTTTTGCAAATGCAGTCTTCCATTTTAGTTTTTAAAAACTAAACAATTTTTGTTAGTTGTTTGAAAGTTCTGGTTGCTTGAGTTTCAGGTAACTGAGTCTACTCCACATACTTCCATACATTGAAATTACGTGTACTGCTTGAGGAACAAAGAGTATTGTAAATATCCAGCAGTCCAGCCTGACCATGACCATTTATCTTTATAGAGAAATAAACCTGAACGCGTTCAATACAACTTCGTTCTAACTGAGGCTACTGCCTTGGTTTCACACCAGTTAAATCCCAGATCACAAGTCCTTCTGGGATAAGTAGTAGTGCTGGAGACTAATCCATACTGAGCTTATGGTGCTTAGGGAATCTTCCTGGGCAAAAGAGTGAAGCTACTAAATAGTGAAGCAGCAGATTTGGGGGTGTCATGAAAACAAACGGCTATGTATTCAATCAGTTATTTTTGCATTAATTGTCAGGAATGGGGAGATGTGCTTTGGAAATTTCTCATCTCATGTACTCAGATTAGGTGCATTATGCCTTGTTGGGATATGTGCCTGCATAATCCCGCACACCTCTTTTTCAGGAAGCAAAATTATTTCAGCCAATCCAAGAGCAACAAAATACAGTAGATCAGGGGTCCCCAAACTAAGGCCTGTGGGCCAGATATGGCCCTTCAAGGTCATTTACCTGACCTGTGCCCTAAACTTTAGACTTAGGGTCGCCCTAAGTCTGAAAAACTTGAAAGCAAAGAGCAACAACAATTCTAATTACCTTGACACTCTCATCGGCCAAAATCAGGCTTACACTTCCCATTGAAATGCTTGTACGTGTCATTAAAATTGTTCTTCATTTTAAATACTACATTGTTCTTTCCTGGTTTTATTTTATTTTATTTGCACTACAAGTAAGATAAGGGGATGCTTTGAATGCAATTTTCCTGCTTCTTGGCAGGGGGTTGGAATGGATGGCCCTTGAGGTCTATAATTCTATATGCAGTGTGCCATAGGAATTTTTGGCTTGATATTATTGAAATGCAGTAATTAAAGGCAAATTAAGAGAAATAAAAATAAAATTAACACAGTTTTTCCATATTATAAAAACAGCCTTGTGAATGCTGGACACAATTTTAGTTTGATTTTTTTTAATGTTTGTTTGAGAGTTCCAGTTGATTGAGTTCCGCTTAACTCAATCAACTGGAACTCTCAAACAAACATCCCTTTATTATCTGCTATGCCGACTGGGGATAATGGGAACTGCAACTAAACAGTACTTGTGGCTCTGAGGTTGGGGAAAGGTTAAATGACATTTTAAAGCCATGCATCATACCCATAAGCCTTGCATCTAAATTCAAAACTCAGTATCCTGACTAAACAGAACTAACTGCAGCCTTCCAGATGTCACTGTATCCCAACTCCCATCTGTCCTAGTCATGATGTCTAACGATGAGGAATACAGGAATTGTAGTCCAGCATCAGGAGGGTCACATAAAATGACACGGCAGGCTGGATTTGGCCTGCGGGCCTTGAGTTTGGCACATGTACTTTGGAGCATAAGAGTTGTACGACAGAATCCATATTTCAGGGCAAGATTAGGAACACAATACTTGTGCCACAAAATACAACTGTAAACAAACACAACCAACACATAAGCTGTGTGGCTGCTAAACAGCTACCATCAGCAAGGCACGTGAGAGAGAAAATGTGCTAGTCATAAGCTTATCGTGGACTGGAACCAGCTTTTGTTTACAGGGCTCGAAGGTCCGGCATCAACGCCACTGGGGAAGATTCATTCAGTTTGCAAATACTTTCGATTGCGACTAGAAAACTCAGTCTGGAAGGAAGATGATGCAGCTCCTTTGCCAAAACTATCCAGGCCAGGCATGGGTCTGCTTAGACTGGATCCACACTGTAGAATTAATGCACTTTGACATTACATTAACTGCCATGGTTGAATGTTATGGAATCCTAGGAGTTGTAGTTATACAAGGTTTTTAGGCTTCCTGCCATAGAGTACTGGTGCCTCACCAAAATACAACTTTCCTAATTCCATAGTAGTTAAAGTGGTGTCAAACTCATCAATTCTACAGTGTAGATCAGACATGGGCAAACTTCAGCCCTCCTGGTGTTTTGGACTTCAACTCCCACAATTCCTAACAGCCTACCGGCTGTTAGGAATTGTGGGAGTTGAAGTCCAAAACACCAGGAGGGCCGAAGTTTGCCCATGCCTGGTGTAGATGCACCTTTGAATAGGTGATCTGTAACCTCATTATACACAAGTCACCTGATGCTCCATCACGGAGTAAGTTCGGAGATAGGGATCTCTTAAATAAATTAGTTCTCCACTCCTTTCCATTCGGGAGGCCATTTACTGCTGCAATTACTCACAACTCAACCAAATATCTTGTGCAGTTCAGAAATCAGGTAAAAGAGGCACGCATAGGGTTTTGTAACTCTGTTAGCTCCTGTATGTTATCTATTTAACAGATGTGGGTCCATGGGCCATAATAAAGTTTATGTATAGACATAGGCTTTTGGAGTGCACAAGACATCAAAACATTGCAATGGAAATAGTTAATTCAGAGCAAATCCTATCAAACTCATTAGAACTTGGCCCCAATCTTGACACAATTACTCACAACTATATATATATGGAAAGCCTGTCCCACTCAAGATAAAAGCAGGTTGTAACTAAATATAGTATGACAACAACTACTAATTAAATTAAACACTGCATAGAAAGGGGCTGCCAAGTCCTAAGTGCGAAGATTTACCGTCATGTGTTGTCGAAGGCTTTCATGGCTGGAATCACTGGGTTGCTGTGAGTTTTCCGGGCTGTATGGCCATGTTCCGGAAGCATTCTCTCCTGACATTTCACCCACATCTATGGCAGGCATACTCAAAGGTTGTGAGGTCTGTTGGAAACTAGGGAAGTGGTGTTGCCCAGGTGGGAAAAAGAACTCTTGTCTGTTTGAGGCAAGTGTGAATGCTGCAATTGGCCAGCCTGATTAGCGCTGAATAGCCTTGCAGCTTCAAAGCCTGGCTGTAGCATTCACACTTCCCTCAGGCAAACAAGAGTTCTTTTTCCCACCTGGGACATTATTCCACAGATATATAAACCTCACTTGCCTAGTTTCCAAAAGACCTCACAATCTCTGAGGATGTCTGCCATATATGTGGGCAAAATGTCAGGAGAGAATGCTTCCGGAACATGGCCATACAGCCTGAATAACTCACAGCCACCCATCTACAGTCATGTTTAGATAAAATACTTTTTGGGGATTATGTCTCTTCTCAATACTTAGCCAAGAGAGTTAAATTGGGAGAGTTAAATCACAAAAAGTAACTTTTCCAAACTCTTGATTTAGATCTATTTGTGCCTATATACAAAACACAAGGGAAACATGCCTTTAAGGACAGACATGACTTAAAACTGGTTTTAGCAGAACTCAGCTTTGAAGCCTGCTAACACAGTAAGGCTTCTCCTTTTTAAAGGTATGGCCTCTGAGCATGCACAGAGTGCATTCTCAGCAACCGAGGGGAACAAAGCCTATCTCCCACCTATAGGGAACCAACACAACTAGTGGTTCTCAACCTTTGGGTCCCCAGATGTTTTGGCCTTCAACTCACAAAAATCCTAACAGCTGGTAAACTGGCTGGGATTTCTGGGAGTTGTAGGCCAAAACACCTGGGGACCCACAGGTTGAGAACCACTCACATAGAAGGATGAGAGATTTCAACCGGAAAGGGCGTCTACACTGTAAAAATAATGAAGTTTGATACCACTTTAACTGCCATGGCTCAATGCTTTGGAATTCTGGGACTTGGCAGAGAAGGCAGTAAAACTGCAGCTCCCATGATTCCATAACAATGAGTCGCGGCAGTTAAAGTGGGTGAAACCGCTTTAATTCTACAGTGTAGATGCACTCCCAGAGAGCCCTGGGTTCCGAAGTTGCCCTTAAGACGCGAGGGAGCTGTGCCTTTCCTTGCTTTCACGCTCTCACGTACACCCTCAGACACACATCTCTGCCTGGTGTTCCCTCCACTCACAGAAACCGGAGTGCCACGATCTCTTCGGAGCCTTCCAAGGAGAGACCCTCCTCCTGGTCGCTGCTGCTTCTGCCTCTGATCAGCTATCGGAATAGTGGGGCCCAGGTCACGTGACCGGCTGCTGCCGTCAGCTGCTGGCTTGCTATGCCTCGGTTTTTCTCTGCTCCGCACGGGCTTCCCTTCCGCCACATTCCGCCGCCAGGGGGAGCTCCAGGCACTTCTGCTGTCCCACCATTGTCTGCCTATCCCTGGGAATAATGAGCTCAAACAGAAAAATCTGATCCCATTGTCGTGACGTAGACGGCCTTCCCCGAAGAATTCTGGGAGTTGTAGTTTGAAGGGGAAAGGAAAAGAAAAAGGGATACAGTACTTCACCTGACTTGTTTATCACAGAATTAGATGAAATCCTCCCAAGCGCCATCCAGCCCAACTTCATTCTGCCAGGCACAATCAAAGCCCTCCCAACAGATGGCCATCCAGCCTCTGCTTTAAAAAAAMAAAAAAACCCCAGAGATGGAGACACCACCATACCTTGTGGGTGGGTTTGGAGAGGAAAGCTTGAGCAATCTTAGTCTAATGCCTTCCTTGGRTTACCACTTTAACTGCCCTGGCTCATTGCTATGAAATCCTGGAATTTGTAGTTGGCACTCTTTGGCGGAAAAGGCTAAATATACCTTGTGCAACTACAACTCCCAGGATCCCTTAGCATTGAGCTACAGCAGTTAAAGTGCTATCAAATGAGCCCCTCTTGGGTTCATTGTGACATCACTTTAACTGCCCTGGCTCATTGCTATGAAATCCTGGGATTTGTAGTTTGGGGAGGCACCAGCATTCTTTGGCGGAGAAGGCTAAATATACCTTGYGCAACTACAACTCCCAGGATCCTTTAGCATTGCGCTACAGCRGTTAAAGTGCTATCAAACGAGCCCCTCTTGGGTTCAGTGTGACATCACTTTAACTGCCCTGGCTCAWTGCTATGAAATCCTGGGATTCATAGTTTGGGGAGGCATCAGCACTCTTTGGCGGAGAAGGCTCAATATACCTTGTGCAACTACAACTCCCAAGATCCTTTAGCACTGAGCTACAGCGGTTGAAGTGCTATCAAACGAGCCCCTCTTGGGTTCAGTGTGACATCACTTTAACTGCCCTGGCTCATTGCTATGAAATCCTGGGATTCATAGTTTGGGGAGGCATCAGCACTCTTTGGTGGAGAAGGCTCAATATACCTTGTGCAACTACAACTCCCAAGATCCTTTAGCACTGAGCTACAGCGGTTAAAGTGCTATCAAACGAGCCCCTCTTGGGTTCAGTGTGACATCACTTTAACTGCCCTGGCTCATTGCTATGAAATCCTGGGATTCATAGTTTGGGGAGGCATCAGCACTCTTTGGCGGAGAAGGCTAAATATACCTTGCGCAACTACAACTGTCAGGATCCCCTAGCATTGAGCCACAGTTGTTAAAGTGCTATCTAACTGCATTAATTCTACAATGTAGAAGATTGTTGCTTGTCTGGAATTCTCATTTGTGTGTGTGTGTGTGCTTGTCTTTATTTGATGTCCTGGTTTTAGAGTTTTTTTAATATTGGTGACCAAAGTTTTAAAAAAAACCCCGCAATTAAAGCCCTGGCATGAAATACTCAGGGCCAGCTAACACCTCCCAATAAAGGATCCCCAGGCAGGAAGCAGCCCGGCTTTGAAGCTGCAAGGCCATTAAGTGCTAATCAAGATAGCCAATTGTAACAATCACACTTGCCTCCAGCAGACAAAGAGTTCTTTCTCCCACCCTGGACATTCCACAGATATATAAACCTCACTTGCCTAGTTTCTAACAGACCGCACAACCTCTGAGGATGTCTACCATAGATGTGAGCGAAATGTCAGGAGAGAATGCTTCTGGAACATGGCCACAGCTCGGAAAATTTACAACAACCCAATGATTCCAGCCTTGAAAGCCTTCAACAACACATAATAATAATAATAATAATAATAATAATAATAATAATAATACTTTATTTGTTTTCCTTCTTATCTCCCCTTGAGGACTAAGGGCGGATTCCAACAAACAAAAAACACAGAGACAAACATTTAGGAATATCTACCTGCCACAGAGCTCTTAAAAGAGACAGAAGCCCTTTGAGAACATTAGCATTGTAGTTCTGTGGGCGGTATGGAAAATGCAGTGCTGATAGACCCTGCCAATGGAAGTCAATAGATGACTTCCACTGCTGCAGGATAAAAGGCTGGAACAATAAGAGTGGAAAATATATTTAAACCGGCATTTCTCTCTACTCCTGGGAACAACAAACCTAATATCCACTCATAGATTTGGCCTACAGCAAGATGGAGGAAATTTCTGAGACATTTATTTGCCTGGGGAATCTAGCATGCTGTTTTGAAATAAATAAATACTTAAAAATAGTTTGTCAGTACTTGGTTTAAGGGTAAAATCTATAAGCACAGAGTGGAAGGCTTGTCAAGTAATCTCTTCTAAAGCTCTGAACTTATGAAAAGGAAGATCAGTGCATTTTCAAGACCAGGGGTCTCATTGGTACGGATACTGTATATCTATTCCACAGGAAATCTTTTTGCATAGCTGCATACCAGGCTAACATACTGTATATACGTGAGTATAAGCCTAGTTTATCAGCCCCCTTTTTAGACTGAAAAAGCATCTCCTCGGCTTATACTCAAGCCAAGGTTATTTATTATTTTACTCTGTTATTAGTATTATTTTATTACATGCATTATTTTACTTTATTTATTATTATTATTGTTATTATTATTATTACATTTTTACTCTATTATTTTATTACAGTTATTATTTTACTCTATTATAATTATTTTATTACTTTTATTATTTTACTCTATTATTATTATTATTACATTATTTATTTATTTATTTACAGCATTTTTACCCTGCCCTTCTCAACCTCCGGGGGGGGGGGGGGGGGGGGACTCAGAGCGGCCAACAAAGGTAGCAATTCGATGCCACAAATCAATAACATAGTATAAAACCATAAATACATACAGAGTTAAAACAATAGCAATTAATTATAACCAAATTATCATAACAGTTGTTAAATTAAAAACAATACTCAGTCCACAAGCCCATTGATAGAACAATAAAACCGTATCCTCATATATATCGTCTTGCCAATCAATTTCCAGTCAAAGTGCTGCTTTATGTTTATTGTCTGAAAGCCTGGTCTCAAAACCAAGATTTTAATTTCTTCGTGAATGCCAGGAGGGATGGGGCGATCGTATTTCATTTGGAAGCTTGTTCCACAGGCGGGGGGCTACAGCCGAGAAGGCCCTGTCTCTCATCCCTGCCAGCCGCTTTTGCGATGTTGGCGGGAGTGAGAGCAGGGCCTCCCTGGATGATCTTAAGTTACGAGGTGGGACATAGAGGCAGATGCATTCGGACAAGTAAGCTGGGCCAGAGCCATATAGAGCTTTATAAGTAAAAACCAGCACTTTGAATTGAGCTCGGAAGTGGACAGGCAGCCAGTGGAGATGACACAACAAGGGGGTGGTATGCTCCCTGTATGTAGCTCCTGTTAGTAATCTGACTGCTGCCCATTGGACTAACTGCAGTTTCCGAACCGTCTTCAAAGACAGCCCCAAGTAGAGTGCGTTGCAGTAATCTATTCGGGATGTGACTAGAGTGTGGACAGCCATAGCCAGATCTGACTTCCCAAGGTACGGGCGCAGCTGGCGCACAAGTCTCTTTGCAAGAGCTTCCCTGGCCACCGCCGAAACCTGTGGTTCCAGGCTCAGTGATGAATCCAGGATCACTCCCAAGCTGCAAACCTATTTTACTCTATTTATTATTATTATTATTATTATTATTATTATTATTATTATTACATTTACATTATTTTACTCTATTATTATTTCTCACCAATGGAGAGTGTAAGAAACACTGGGATGTCTGTGGTGGAGGAAACAGGTAACATCTAGGATGAAATTGGGTGGTGGGCAGTATGGTGTCTGGGGAGAACATTGGCAGGGTTTGGGCTACGTGTTCATGGCACTCACTATAACCTGCAATGTCATTGGAGGGAGGGCCATTGGTGTCTCCTGAGTAGTGGGACCTATAGCAGTTTATACATTTGATGCATGATATTTATACATGCGAGGCATTAAATTTTGTCATTGATTATGTTGTGAACTGCTTTGAGTCCCCCCAAGGGTGAGAAAAGCAGTATAAAAATGCAATACATAAATATTTGTTTATTATTATTTATTTACCATATTTATATACAGCCTTTCTCAGCCCAAGGACGACTCAGGGCAGTTTACAAATGGCACAATTTGATGCCTGCAATAACATAAAAACAATTAAAACATTTAGCATAAATAACATTGGATAAAGTAATAAAGCCAATAAAAGTATAAATCCTCAGCGTCTCATTACTAAAATCATTACCCATAAATAATTTTGTGGAAGTGGGAGCTTGTCTATGTAAGTGGACACTCCAGACACATACACACAAACGTATTTTCACTTTTACTATATGTATGTATGTATAGATAGATAGATATAGATAGATAAGATAGATTGTTGTTATGGTGTAGCATTAGCAATATTGTAACGCTAGATGGCAGGCTTCTATTGTTTTTGAGTTAGTTGAACACATATCCAGATTTTTTGGGAAGTTAAGAAATTATATTATGATGCAATTTGAGTCATCTGTCAAAACTAAGATTTTATAATAATGTACAGTGGTTGTCTAATTGTCAATGATAATTTACATAACTGTGGAAAACAATAGCGTCCCTATGTTCATTTTGTTGTGCTGTTGTTATTCAACAATGGCTAAATATTGTTGGCTGCTGTTTTGGAACATTAATATCATCTGAGTATATTGTATGCTATACCATTTGGGAAATAATGCACTTTATTGATATCAGTGTACTAACGTTGTTTTATAAGGTTTTACGAAATGTCATCTAGTTCAGTTTTCTCAATTTTAATTCTGCACCTTACAAAACTACATGTGGAAATCCGGTGAGGCTGCTTTCTGGAATAAATAAACCTATTAATAAAAAGATCGTGCAAAGAATAATCTCTATGCTGGAATTTCACTAAACCTTTTGTCTAAAGGTTTTTGCAGTTCTATTTTACCAAAATATGAAAGGAGCATAAATCCCGGGTAAAAAGAACACATGGATTTA